ACCTTGGGAGGAGGGTGAGGCGGTCCGCGCGGCCTTTTTTCGAAAGCGGCCGCGAGTGCCGGGCGCTGTGGCCGAGAGGCTGGAACGTGGTCGTGGCTCGTTGGCACCTGTGGTCTGGCTCGCTGGCACCTGTGGTCTGGGTCGTTGACACCTCTGGTGGGGCTCGCTGGCACCTGCGGTCTGGCTCGTTGACACCTGTGGTCGGGTTCGTTGACACCTGTGGTCGAACATAGGTCTGAGTCCTGGTGGCCTGAGCCGGATTCTGAGTCCTGGTGGTCTGAGTCGGATTCCGAGTCCTGGTGGTCTGAGTCGGATTCCGCGTGTCATGCAAGCGTTTTTCGGACCTCGTGATCCGGAGTACGGTCGTGTTCTAGGCTCGCTTCGGCCTCGTGATCCGGACTACGGTCGTGTTCTAGGCTCGTTTAGGACCTCGTGATCCGGAGTGCGGTCGTGCTCTAGGCTCGCTTCGGCATCATTAACCGGAGTACGGTCGTGTCCTAGGCTCGCGATGCCGATCACGTTCTCCAGGGAAGTTCGACTCTGAGTTTTTGGAGACCGATTGCTGGTCGGCGTTCGGGTCCAAGATTTATCCGTTTGCATCCCATCCGCTGTATTGCAGGACCGATTAAGACAAACATGCTGGTGCAAGATAATGTTCAGTGCCAAGCGTCGTCCGGCAAAACAGAAAACACAATAGCAATGTTTTTACCGGATTGTCAGAGGTAGAACTTGCCGAGCATGAACATCGGCACAAGGTAATCTCACGCATTGCTCGACCTGCCCTTTTGTTTCACATGTTCTCAAGGGCTAAGATATACCCTTCGTCCACGCTTCATGCATGCATGTCCTCGCATATATGCCATGTTTCGTTCTGAAGATTAAAACTGCTGCCTCCGGGAGGGGTGGGGGGGAGGGCGGAGACTGCACACAGAGTAAGCAAACGGTGATATCCGGTGATAACCGGTGATAACCGGCGATGACCGGTGATGCCCAACGGAACCAGCGGAGGATACGTACAAACTGCGGTGCTGGCACCCGTGCGTCACGCCATTGGAGGGGACTGTTTGAATATATCAATATCATTGTATCGGGGCTAGTGGAGGAACGGTGACGTGCGTTCTTTGGGCTTGCATTAGATATGCAAGTTTGTCTAAAATTGGGCGCCTACTGCGCCCGATTGGGTCACTCCTAGGCGAAATATTGGCTATGCCACTGACGTTGGATGCTTTCGAATCTGTTGTTTTGACAAACATGGCAGGGGCAAGGTATGGGAAGGGACAGAGGACCGCCCGCCCGCCAATTTCAGGGGCGTCTAATATATATCTTTTCGCGTTGCATCCTAAATCCACCCCCAGCCCCCACCCATACACCTACCCCATCTCCACCCTACCTGGCTCTCACGAGGTTCTTCCTTCACTCAGGCATGCCAAAGCTCTCCAATGATTGGGCACACGGAATTACTTTTGCCGATCGTTGCTCAGTTTTTACGTTCCAATCATATGAATTTGCGCTCGTGCCCACTTTGCTATATGCATCGATACTCTAGCATGTGCTTTAAGCAAAAGTCCCTGCATGTTCGGTGTGGGGCGTGAGTAGAATGCCTGGTTTCAGATGTGAGCGGGGTGCAAAGCTCAAGATCTCAGGCCACTTCCAAGCGGTGTAAACAATGGTTGCGCCGGTACTGAAAAACGGGTTTGCGGTTTATCGTCAAACCCCCAAACTGCAGTATACTTTTCAGTTTGGGGGTTTCAATCCCTAACGTTTAGAAGAGAGCGAACCAAGTGCACGGAAAACCCGCTTCGGCGCATTTCGGGTTAGGCTGAGCGTTTAGCTCTTTTCTCTGCACAATCACCCAGACGCTTTTACCAGACCACTCCCGCTGAAAAGTACCGGCTGCTTGTAACGCCGTAACATAGTTTTTCATCTCTGGCTGCGTATATCAGTGATCCAGACCGCAGCACGTTGGTGGGCTAGAACACTTCTTCATTTTCTGTCGTCCATGCCATGGGACAGGGCCGGCATTTGATATGCATCCCGATTTGTAGGGCGCGCTAGCAACGGCACACCCGTGCCACCTGCGTCGCCCACCGCGGGGGGGGGGGGGGGTGGTGCCACGGCTATGGCTGGAGCCTCCCTTCCTTTCCCTCCCTTTCCTCCGGGCCTATTCGGTGGCATCCACGATGCTTATTCGCAGTGTGCTGATATCATGACCTGTCATCCCTTGATTGGTGGAATCCGCGGACGGGGTTCTCGCTTGTAATTTGTCGCATGCCGTGTGGACGGCGCACGTCGGGCACGGACACCTCCGTTTCAGGAGAAAGCGACTGCAAGCTATCATCCGGCCCAGGCGTATGTAATTTGATTGCGTCGGCTTCCCTGTCTGCATCACAAAACTTTGTAGAAGCGCTTCCAGCTGTGCATGGTACAGTTTTCCCAGTAACGTCAGACGATGTAGCAATCAAACCCCTATAAACAGACTTGAGCTTCTAAGCAGATGCGGGATTGGATTGGATAGCACCAGATACCAGATGATTTCCCACTTCTCGCGATCCATTGGTCTTTTGCCAAAGCTAAGTCGCTTGCAGTTTGAAGGGCAACGCACTTTGAATGAGGGGCGCATACGTGGGCTGCGTATCTACTACACTCCTGCGACCAACATTCCTATACTTTCAACAACATTCCTTTTCTAACGCCATATCTTCTTCGTTCTAATACTACTTCATTTCTACGGCGGCGCTATCGTGGCTCAGTTTTCAATCGATACATCTCCATAGCTTGACCTGAAAATTATTCAGACCCGTGTGTAAGTGGATGTACGTCAGAGTGCGTCGGAGTACTCTGATGTTCGTCGGAGTGCTTGTCACGGAGGCTCCACAGAATGCGCTGTTAGACTACCGCTCGTCCGGGGCGATGGAGAGAGGTGCTGACGCGTGTTTGCTACTTCAGCCAGCCCGACATTGGGGCGCGACGCGTGCTCCCCGCCGGAGCGTTCTCCAGTGTGCTGTGCTGTTCACCAGACGTTTGTTTTACATGCGGGTCGTCGCCACATTTCGGTACTCCGATCCGGGTCAAGACGAGGACCACCTTTTGAACGCTGTGGTCCATGAGTCATCTCCATCAGCTCACTGATCAGCGAGCTGACTGAAAGACTAGTACGTTTACTGGTGTTCTACATTCACTGACCGAAAACTGGAAGCGCATGATACGAAGCCTTAAACAAACGACAAAGGTATAAGCATGAGTACACCATAATTAACTTTTATGAGTTGGTCAGGGAAGTAGCAAACGTGCAGTTTGATCCAAATGTATTCATGGCTAACTTCAATGTAGTTTGTTTACTAACATTCCTTTGCAATACGTTATTCTTCGTGGATCATTTTCATTTTGCAGTTTTATCGACAGGTGGAAAGGATGACCATTGGTCTACCCCTGGGTCGAAGTTTCGTGATCATCATCCTGCACTGCAGTGGACATTTCTGGCCCAACCCTTGTCCAACCAATTTATGTTTTTTTTATCGTGATGTTTAGCCCGATCCACAACCTTTTCATCCGTGGCAAAGTTTACGCCTGACCCAAACCAAAGACTGACAAAAAAAAAACTGAAAAAAAAGAACCAAAGTCTGGTTTCTCCTGACATTGTGCCCAGCTGGGGTGACAGTGCTCCAGTGTTCCATCGTTCCTCACCGCCCGGCTTAGGGGACAGTGCTCCAGTGTTCTATCGCGCCTCGCCGCCCAACTGGAATGACAGCTCTGGCAGTCGCTGGCTGTGACGTCACAGCAAGCCGTGACGGGGCGGGGGACGTGACCGTCGTTCGCAGCCGTGACGGGGCGGGGGAAGTGACCGTCGTTCGCAGCCGTGCGTCTGGCGGGGGCTCGCGGCGCTGTTGGCTGGTGCTTCCCCATAACAGGAGGCTGGTTGAATGAGCGTTCTGCAGCATCATGATCGTGACCAACTTTTGTATCGCATTGCCAAGTACAGGTCATATTTGCTTTCTTGTCATAGCGAATCTGCTCTTTCAAGCGACGAACATCTGTGGGATGTACCATGGCATGGCAAATAACATGGGGATAGCATGGTGTAGAACGCGAGGTATACTATGTACCGTTCTGCTGGCCTGAGCCACGCCGCTGTTGCAAGACATACTAATCACGTCACTGCATTTTGTTCGTCTTCCCGGGAAAAAGGCACAGCTAAATTCGGCCGTGAAGTCAGCCGCCGTCGTGCTCGGCCAAGGCTAGCCGGATCCGAGGCTCATCAGGGCTACGGCAGCAGGCCGGCTGCCTCACAACGTCTAAAACGCTAGACCATCATGGGAAAACGCTTGATCACCACGGATAACACGCTAGATTAACACGACAAAAACGCTAGATCACCACGTGTTAAACGCTAGATCACCATGTCTAAACGCTAGATCACCACGGCCAAAACGCAAAATCACCATTTCCAAAACGCTAGATGGTCAAGCAAAAAGGTTAGATCACCACGTCTAAAACGCTTGATCACCACGTACAAAACGCTAGATAACCGCGCATGAAAAACTAGATCCCCACGCTTAAAACGCTAGAGCACCGCGTCGAAATTGCTGGAGCACCGCATCAAAATTGCTGTAGCACCACGTATAGAACGTTAGACACCGCGTCTAAAACCCTCACCGCTACGTATGAAGCGATGGATCACCACGCGTAAAACGCATTGCCCCACTTTCCTTGCAGGCGTTCGGTCCGGTTTCTTGCTGAGCTCGTGCGATGTCGCAAGTCGTAAGAGTTTTATCGAAGCTGAGCCCGACCCGTTTGACGAACCACGTCCATCGGGCGATGCACTCACACCGTGATTTCGTCTGCAGCGACTTCAGGGCCCTGTGCTGTTTCGTTTACAGCGGTGCCTGCGCGGCCTCCACATCTAGGCTTCTCTTCGTCTCCGTTTCCTGACTGAGAGGAGGCCGTGACGACGCGGCGCCGATCGCTGCCCGGAGTGCGCAGCCGGCCGCCGCCGCCGCCGCCGCCGCCGCCACCGCCGCCATCATGCTGAACTGGGCTGGCCTCGCGGGCATCTTGGTCTTCTACTTGCTGATCCTGGCCGTCGGCCTCTGGGCAGCATGGCGCAGGAAGAAGAGCCTGGAAAGCAGTGGTAAGGACGGCTGCCTGCCCCTCGCGTGCACGCCACAGTGCAGGGCTGTGTGGGGTACGTGTGAGAGCAGTGGCGTGGGTGGCTGTCCCTCGCGTGCCCGTCACGGCGCCCGGCTGTGTGGGGCACGCTGGAGTTTGCAGCGTAGGAACGTCCGAAGGAGCGTCCGTCTATACATTTTTTGAAGTTGATCATTGGTTATTAATTTATGTATTAATTTATCTTAGTTCTTGACTCATTTTAGTTCTTTTATTTATGTAATTATTCGATGTATTGGTTACTAAGGCCGATTAGTGATTATATCCCGCTAAAGTTGCTGCGTTGTAGTGATTTAGACCACTGGAAACACTTTTCAGGTGTTTTTGATAACTTTTTAGAAGCTTTTCATTTGGAGGTGTGGGCCGTTGTGCTTGACTTTACCGGTTCGTTTGCGTCGTTGCTCTTGCGCTCTATGTGCAGCTTAATCGGCTTGACATGGGGTATACGGAGAGCGAGTACGTAAAAGAGGTGCTCTTGTTATGACTGCGTTGCAGTTGATAGCATTTCGGCGTAAGGAAAAGCACAAAATTGACGATATTTGGCTGTTCGTGATTTGCTGGGTTCAAGCTCTGTCCATTGGACTCGGACTTTTCTGCTCTATCTAGGAAAGATAGAGTTAAAAAAAATTGGGGGATGGCCTATCTCTTTAGTCTTTACTTTAATAAATGTAATATTGACCTCATCAGTCCATTTACTTTCCCGGGGAATTGATTGGGCCATTTCCCAGGCGATGCGCGCCGTTACGCCACTCTTCCCTGCCTGTCTTCGCACACCGCTGGTATGGTGTGTGTGTCTTGGCTTTACGGCTACATGCGCGTCTTTGAGTCCATTCCTCCCCTTTTCTTGCTACCTCCTGTTTTGGTGGAGCCAGTGGAGCCCCGCTCGGCCGGTGTTACCGGAAATGTATGTTGTTACATGGCCGGCACGCTCTCCCCATAAGCCACCTTCGCAATAGTGTGGTCATGCAAATGTGTTTGGGACCGGTCCCTATTGCACGGGGTTCGGGCAAAAGCAGCCTTCCGTGGTGTTGTGTGGGAGGCAGCGCCCGCACGTGATCACTGCGACCTTGATCTTTGATGATGCACGGTCTGTGGAGCTCCAGCCTGCCTTCTCCACAGCGGACTATCAGCTTATCGAGCATTCCTCGCTCCCCCAATCCGCCCACCAATACGATGAATGTGACTGCCGCTTGCAAGCATGACCTCTACAGTGAGAGCTATCTAAATATAACAGAGGACAGACAAGGACAGCAGGCAGTGGCAGTGGCGGGCGGTGGATGTCTCTCAGACTTGCGGCGTCTGGATGGTAACGGCGGCATCCCACTGACGGCGTCTGGACGGTAACGGCGGCATCACACTGACGGCGTCTGGACGGTAACGGCGGCATCACACTGAAGGCGTCTGGACGGTAACGGCGGCATCACACTGACGGCGTCTGGATGGTAATGGCGGTATAACACTGACGGCGTCTGGATGGTAATGGCGGTATAACACTGACGGCGTCTGGATGTAATGGCGGTATCACACTGACGGTGTTTGGACGGTAACGGTGGTATCACACTAACGGCGTCTAAGGGCGCTATATATATATATATATATATATATATATATATATATATATATATATATATATATATACATACCTCTCTCTCTCTCTCTCTCTCTCTCTCTCTCTCTCCTCTCTTCTCTCTCTCTCTCTCTCTCTCTCTCTCTCTCTCTCTCTCTCTTCTCTCTCTCTCTCTCTCTCTCTCTCTCTTCTCTCTCTCTCTCTCTCTCTCTCTTCTCTCTCTCTCTCTCTCTCTCTCTCTCTCTCTCTCTCTCTCTCTATCTCTCTCTCTCTATCTCTCTTCTCTCTCTCTCTCTCTCTCTCTCTCGTCTCTCTCTCTATGTCTCTCTGTCTCTGTCTCTCTGTCTCTCTGTCTCTCGTCTCTCTGTCCTCTCTGTCTCTCTGTCCTCTGTCTCTGTCTCTTGTTCTCTCTCTATATGTTCTCTGTCTCTATGTCTCTCGTCTCTCTGTATCGCTGTCTCTCGTCTCTCTGTCTCTGTCTATCTGTCTCTCTGTCTCTCGTTCTCTGTCTCTCTGTCTCTCTGTCTCTCTGCTCTCTGTCTCTCTGTCTCTCTGTCTGTCTGTCTGTCTGTATGTCTGTCTGTCTGTCTGTTGTCTGTCTGTCTCTGTCTGTATGTCGTGTTGTCTGTCGTCTGTCTGTCTGTCTGTTGTCTGTCTGTCGGTCTGTCTTCTGTCTGTCTGTCTGTCTGTCTGTCTGTCTGTCTGTATGTCTGTTTAGGGCTGTCTGTTTTCGTCTGTATGTCTGTCTGTCTGTCTGTCGTCTGTCTGTCTGTCTGTTCGTCTGTCTGCGTCTGTCTGCTCTGTCTGTCTGTCTGTCTGTCTGTCGTTGTCTGTTGTCTGTGTCTGTCTGTCTGATCTGTCTGTCTGTCGTCGTCTGTCTGTCTGTCTGTCTGTCTGTCTGTCTGTCTGTCGTTGTCTGTCGTCTTGTCTGTCTGTCTGCTCGTCTGTCTGTCTGTCTGTCTGTTCGTCTGCTGTCTGTCTGTCTGTCTGTCTGTCTGTCTGTTCTGCTGTCTGTCTGTCTGTCTGTCTGTCTGTGTCTGTCTGTCTGTCTGTCTGTATCGTCTGTCTGTCTGTAGTCTGTCGGTGTCTGTCTGTCTGTCTGTCCGTCTGTTGTCTGTCTGTCTGTCTATGTCTGTCTGGTCTGTCTGTCTGTCTGTCTGTTGGTCTGATCTGCTTTCTGTCTGTCGTTCTGTCTGTTCTGTCTGTATCTAATCTATGAGGTAGATGAAGGAAACGCACTCATAATGTGCGCGTTTTGTGTAACGCTTCCGTGTGCGCCCTCACTCCCTTCTCACTGCAGAGAGGCAGCGGGTAAGATTGTCGCGACCAATGCGTTAGCCCGGCCGCTTCTTTATGTCGATGTTTGACATGTAACACCCGACAGCTACGGACAAACTTCAGTGAAGTGCAGACAGGTGAAACGTGTCGTGTAAAAACGCGAAACGGTAAAGACAGTGACTTTTAGCACCAGTTTTTAACTTAAACTTACCAACAGTATTTCTTTACTTATCCTAGGCAGAGCCACTCTGCGCTTTTACTCCCATTTCCGTCAGCAACTATCCGCCCTCACTTCCCTTGGCAGGATAACACCTGGCGTCGTTTTCGCAGCTTACTATTTTCTCCAGATACATGTGTGAGCAGCCTGAAAATTCGCCATTCAGTTGTGAATTTAGTTCTGAAACTCTAGAGTGAAAAGCTTACAAGTCTACAGAATGAGTGTCGTATTAGGGGACGGTTCTGTTGTTTTAAGGGGAAGTGTAATCCGACAGCCTATTCAAGAGCAGACAACCTATGAATCATGCAGCGAATGTGCTTGCAGAATGAATTAGCTAGGAACTTGTGGCACATGCCAATTGCCCACAAAACCTTTAAAAAAACATTGCGGGACGAGAAAATTTAACCTCGGCTGTTTTCGTTTGTGTGCCGTGTCTGATCCGACCAGTTAACGTCTCCTGCTGTATTTTTTTTTTTTTATCACAACGACGTAGGGAAAGGCTATGGGGGGAGAAGGAGAAACGGCCGGTCAACAAAACTAAGGGTAGGTGGATGGTGGATTTTGATATTGTACTTAGGTTCTAACCGCCGTTTGCGTCTCCATTGGTCGCAGTACATTACAGTCGGCTTAGCCCAAGAAAGGTGTGTTTGCTTGGACGCCAGTAATCAGAGACTCTCGGCCCGACGGCAACTAATTCACGGTGGGCTGATCGCTGTCAGAAGTAAGCGAACCGAAACATAGCCGTGCAGAGCTCGGGAATGGAACGTCTCAATGTGTCTCGTCTTCAGATGCAATGACAATTTGGAAACGCTGCCTGGCAGCCAGATGGCTTCCGCCAGGTGCGTGTCTTTGATTGTACGGCGCGTGCCGCGGCGCCACTACGTGTGCATGCTGACGTGGCATTGCAAAAATGACTTTTCATTGCAATGCTGGTGCTGCATTGAAGTTGGCCGATGCCCCGGTGCTCCTGTGGTGGCGTAGTACGACTCCGTTATTGTTGCTGGTATTCATGCTATCATTGCCCTGCCCGGACACTGGTTTATTCCATTCACACCAGAACAGCGATCACGCCTCCCCCACCCCCTCCCCCCTTTGCCCCATCGGTCGTGCTCCCGCCCCGTGCAGCGGACTTGGACGAGGTGATGGTGTTCCCACTCACTGTCCACTCATCCCCGCCTCGTGCAGCGGACCGCGACGAGGTGATGCCGTCCTCACTCACCGCCCACCCCTCCCCGCCCCGTGCAGCGGACTCGGACGAGGTGATGCTGGCCGGACGTAACATCGGCGTCTTCGTCGGCATCCTGACCATGACGGCCACCTGGGTGGGCGGCGGCTACATCAACGGCTCGGCGGAGGAGACCTTCAAGGCGGGCCTGATCTGGACCCAGGCGCCCTTCGGCTACTCACTTAGTCTCATGCTCGGTAGGTGTGCCGATAGGTCTCGGTAGGTCCTCTCCTGGCAGGCCCGCTCTATTCATCGGGACTGTGCGGCAGCGACAGACGCCGGGACATCGGGAACAACTCGGCGCGGGCTCGGGGTCGATTACAGCGAGGAGTGATACCCGATTGCGGGGAGGGGTGACGAAGTGTTCATGTGCTGTGTGACTGAGCGGTGTCGAGGCCTGACCGAGCGCACTTTAGAGCTGGGCATTTGTCGGCGCTGATCTGCAGTGTTAGAGCTGGGCGTTTGTCGGCGCTGATTTGTAGCGTTAGAGCTGGGCGTTTGTCGGCGCTGATCTTCAGCGTTAGAGATGGGCGTTTGTCGGCGCTGATCTGCAGCGTTAGAGCTAGGCGTTTGTCGGCGCTGATCTGCAGTGTTAGAGCTGGGCTTTTGTCGGCGCTGATCTGTAGCGTTAGAGCTGGGCGTTTGTCGGCGCTGATCTGCAGCGTTAGAGCTGGGCGTTTGTCTGCGCTGATCTGCAGAGTTGGAGCTGGGCTTTTGTCGGCGCTGATCTGTAGCGTTAGAGCCGGGCGTTTGTCGGCGCTGATCTGCAGCGTTAGTGCTGGGCGTTTGTCGGCGCTGATCTGCAGCGTAAGAGCTGGGCGTTTGTGGGCGCTGATCTGCAGCGTTAGAGATGGGTGTTTGTCGACGCTGATCTGCAGCGTTAGAGGTGGGCATTTGTCGGCTCTGATGTGCAGCGATCATGGCTCGAATGCTTTGGCTGAATACGTTATATGAAACGGCTTACTTGGTTCAAGCACTTGTATCAACAGAGGGAATATATTTAAGCTCCTTGAAGTCCTGGACGTGCGTATGTAAACAGAACACACCTTTTAAAACATTTGTGTTGTCTTCATGACGAACTCTTTTGTCATTGAGAGTGTTACTTGAGATCATTCAGCAGGCACGCAAATCCCCTACCCCACACCAAATTAACATTAATTATCGGATTAGCTGTGTCCATGTCTCTGGTCGAAATGTTTGTCACGAGTTTCCCAAGTTCGCGGGGTATTTCGCTGCAACATTTGTTTTAAGTGGCTGTCACAACTGTCCTCAATCACGTTTCTTATCTCCCGTAGTAGAGCGCTGAATGAACAAATGCTTTCGGCACGACCAAAACAAAACAACAAAAACCAACACCCCTTTTAAATATGCCCTTTGTGCTCACAACTTTAACTCAAAGCTCACTATTTCAGGTGGCATCTTTTTCGCAAAGAAGATGCGCGAAGAGGGATACACGACCATGCTGGACCCGTTGCAGAACCGGCTAGGCCGCGTCATGGGCGGCATCCTCTTCCTGCCGGCGCTGATGGGCGAGCTCTTCTGGTCGGCGGCTATCCTTGGCGCTCTCGGTGTGTGGCGCAGGCAGCAGCGGCGGCCGCACTCAGTCCTGCCAAGTGCAGAGATGTTTTGAACAATGATAGTGACGCCCTTGGTTGTTGATGGAATTTTTGGTGTAAAGGCTCGCTCAGTGTCACCCACTATCTGCAGTGTATGCGCGCTTTCGAGTCACTGGTGAGGTCGAAGGCCCAATCATGCATCAGCTCTGCGTCTCTATGCCTGTGCAGGGACCACCATCAACGTGATTCTCCAGCTGGACCAGGTGGTGTCGTTCGGCGATAACCTCTCCATCCTCTGTGCCTGCGCAGGGACCACCATCAACGTGATTCTCCAGCTGGACCAGGTGGTGTCGTTCGGCGATAACCTCTCCATCATCGTGTCGGCGGCCATTGCCGTCTTCTACACGCTGTTCGGCGGCCTCCTCTCAGTGGCCTACACTGATGTCATCCAGCTGATCTGCATCTTCATCGGCCTGGTGAGGGTGGCCTGGGGCCGGGCGGTTAAGGTCTGTCTGCGGTTGGAGAGGTATTGAGTTTCATTGCCCTCGCAGGAAACTTTCGGTGGTCACGCCCCCCCCCCCCCGTCCCCCAGCCGAGATGCGGAGACGCCAGAGGTCTGCACCAGAGGCCAGAGGGCTGTGCCAGAGGCCAGAGGTAGTACCAGAGGCCAGAGGTTACGCTAGAGGCCAGAGGTAGTACCAGAGGCCAGAGGTTACGCTAGAGGCCAGAGGTAGTGCCGGGGACCAGAGATCAGCGCTAAAGGGCAGAGTTCAGTGCCAGAGACCAGAGATCAGTGCTAGAGGCCAGATGTAGTGCCAGAGGCCAGAGGTCAGCGCTAGAGGCCAGAGGTAGTGCTAGAGGCCAGTGGTAGTGCCAGAGGCCAGAGGTCAGCGCTAGAGGCCGGAGGTCAGTGCTAGAGGCCAGAGGTTAGTGCTAGAGGCCAGAGGCCAGAGGTCAGCGCTAGAGGCCAGAGGTAGTGCCAGAGGCCAGAGGTCAGCGCCAGAGGCCAGAGTGTAACGCCAGGTCGGCGCCGGCCCGCCGTGTCGCACTGTTGACGCGTCGGACCTGTAAGCGAGGGGTCGAGAGTCTAGGCCTGGTGTTGGGACGCGGTTTGTATCAACGCTGCGATCATGTATAGGCTCTCGCTTATTGGGCCTCAGCTGTAGCGGCCGCAGATTGCTTAAAAGTGCTGGTTTGTGTGAGCGGGGTCCAGGTTGCCTGTTGAAATATATTGGCGGCAAATGTCGAGCGTGGAGGTCTCATACGAAGAAAGGCGTCGGGCCGATGCCGTTTCAGTACTTCCCAGGCGGGCCTAATGATGAATATTACTTTCAAGAAAGAGCCATTCTTCCCAAATGTGTTTTGCTTCCGAAAGTACATATTATGTAAGGCAGCACAGATTCTTCAATATGAGGTGTTCAATGTCCTAAATGGCATCCATTGGTTGCTGTAGCCTCTTTATTTAGCACTCTCTCATTTGGATTACGATACAGGAATGTGACACAACATGGGGCGTGTCAGTAGAGTGGGAGGACCAGGCACTGCTGTCATGATCAATCGCCGTGGACGTATGTGGACTCTTTTTCTCCTTGGTGTCACGCTAACAATTTAATCCAAGTCTTCTATGAAAAGAAATCTGTGTGTTAAGCCAGACGCTGAGATAATTTGCTTCGGATTTGATGAAAACCGTGATTGTAGGATGTCTATCTTCTGAGATTTTTAACGTCATGAATTACAAATACCAAGCATCGAGTATATTCCAGTATCCTGCTTCTTCTTTCAGCAAGCCGCGCCGTGGCGTTTTGACGGGAGCCTGCCGTGTGTGGTAATGCCAGCATTTCCCCACCATCATATGTGCTGTAAGAAAACGTCTCGTATTTGATGCAGAGCTAGCATCGAAAGCCTAACAAAAACATACCATGTCAACCACGGGAAGATGCCGCAACATTCTGACTGTTGACTAGAACATAGTCTTGCGATGGACTGGGTCACGTTAATGGCAGAGGGAGCTGCGTAAGTGGACTACATACGAGGAGGTGTGGGTTTGCTGTGACTGCACATCAATACGAGGAAGACATTCGGAGCCCGCTTATGGTTGACCGAGCCATGTCCTGCGCCTGGTGCAAACACACCGAACCAAGCCTGCAAATCATATCTAAGCGTATGGAGGCTTCCGCTCCCATGTGCAGTTGACTTCACACTTGCTTAAGTTGCGTGTGTTGCTGCAAGACTAATGTGGTCTCCGGTGGCAGCGTCGTAGCAAGGCTATATGGCTGCTGTATCCGTATCGTTCGCACTGTCCGCTTTATCATGGCCATCGTATGGTTGTGAAAGCGTTTAACACGCGAACTTCAGAAATGGGGCAGTTGAAATGTTGGCAGTTATTTTTGTATCGCACGCATTGCGTTGTAATGCCATACGTTTGATTATATAAACTCAGGGTAATAGCGGCCGGGTAGCACAAAGTCGAATCCATATATTTCAGTATAGTACCAGAAATCTACTGGATATACATCTGTACGAAATATTGATGAGCAAAACTCTTGTGCTCTAGGTATTTTGAAGTCCATCATTCGAGGCAGCGTAATGCGAATGCCACATCATCAATTCATTGCGAGTATAAGTGTGTGTGATGTTCAGAATGTTTGCAAGTAAATGTCAAAGTATTAGATATTGCATTGCACTGTCTGTGTCGGCTATTAGCAAACGGTGCAGCATATTTGGAAGGGAACTGAGGTCTGGCTTGGCTGGCATCGGACACACGGTCCTCCAATTCTGGGCCCGGCACGTCACTGACTGCGCCACTGGGACCGCCCGAGACCGCCCGACGTCACTGACTGCGCCACTGGGACCGCCCGAGACCACCCGACGTCACTGACCGCGCCACTGGGACCGCCCGAGACCACCCGAGGTGCTGCGTAAATCGAAAAATTGATGCAGAACCGCACATGGACGTGACTCGATGACGGAAGGTGTGCTCAAACCGCACTGAATCACGCCTTCGACCACGCCTGCAGTAATACATGCGATCAGCAGAAGTGTTCAAAACGTCATGAACGGGTACTATCACTTGTAGTGGTGCTCACGCCGCACCTGATGCAGTCGCCGATTGTCGCTAATGCAGTTTCATCATGGCTGATGGCTTCACGTCCTTCCCTGCCCGGAGACAGGTCACTATAGCGGACGCCTCTGTGGTCCCCGTCGAGCGTTTGCGGGTGGGTGCCGGCCAGCAGCTCGCGTTCTCAGCGTTCTCCTTGTATGAGTGATGCTGCACGCATGAGACAGGCTCAACGAGAACGCCATCGCCCCCTCAGCAGCTGAGGCGTTTGTCATGGACTCGCGGGTAATCACTGACTTACGAATCGGTCCATTAGCGGCTGCTGACTGCTCTCAGCGTACTACCGGTCACATGCCGCTTGAGTCGTCTTCGACAGTGCCCTTAGCACACTATGAGTCGGTAGTGTACCGAAAAACGTTTAAACGCCTTGTTTGATTATATCATTAACAAACATTTTGTTCCAGTGGTTCTCCATACCGTTCGCCATGACACACGATGCGTTCACGACACTGGACATCTCGGAGAACGACTGGATCGGTTCCATTGAGTCCCACTGGGCTGGTGTCTGGTTTGACTACGCCATGCTTCTGATCTGCGGCGGCATACCCTGGCAGGTACGGACAGCATACCCTGGCAGGTACGGACGGCATACCCTGGCAGGTACGGACGGCATACCCTGGCAGGTACGGATGGCATACCCTGGCAGGTACGGACGGTATACCCTGGCAGGTACGGACGGCATACCCTGGCAGGTATAGACGGCATACCCTGGCAGGTACGGACGGTATACCCTGGCAGGTATAGACGGTATACCCTGGCAGGTACGGACGGTATACCCTGACAGGTGCGGACGGCATACCCTGGCAGGTACGGACGGCATACCGTGGCAGGTACGGACGGTACAGCCGCATCGGGCCTGTTAGTCGCATCTTAGTTTAATATGGTCGAGCTGGTGTGCCGTGGCATGTACATACGGCATGCCGCTGCCTCTGACGTCGGCTCGCCGCGGCAGGCATGCCGGTGCCTCTGACGTCAGCTCACCGCGGCAGACATGTCGCTGCCTCTGACGTCGGCTTACCGCGGAAGGCTGACGTATATGGCGCCGTGCCACGCTGGTATACACACATACACACAGTATACACACAGACGGCGGCGGGTGTGGATGATGTACCGTGAGAGGTTCGGAAAGCCTCCTGCTTTTTGCCAGATCGGTATGGCGTGGTATGCATGCATGACGTACATGGCTGGGCACGGTAATCATTTGTTAGGATGTGTATCACACATATATTTGACGTTGTGTAAGCATGATGCAGGTGCGGCAGCTAGCGTTGAGAAAGTACCGTTGGGGGTCAGGTTAGTGTACTGCAGCTTACAGAACGGCACGCCTATGAGATCATTGGCTGCATACTGGACTGACGGCGGCACACTATATCAGTTAGCGCGATAGCTCAGTTCATTAGTTCAGTTCCAGTTCCGTTCAGCTCAGTTCCAGTTCCGTTCAGCTCAGTTCAATATAATCCAGCTCAGTTCAGCTCAGTTCAGTTCATTTTAAAAACAACTCAGTCCAGCTTAGTTCAGTTTGGTCCAGGTTAGCTCAGCTTAGTTAAGTTCATTTCCATTCAGTTCAGTTCAGCTCATTTTATAAGTAATTACTAATCATAGGAATCATGGCAGTGTAGCAGCCATGATCAGCTGTCAAGCGCACGGCTCAGATGCCATGATCACCTGTCAGGCGCACGGCTCAGATGTCATGATCGGCTGCCAAACGCACATCTCAGATGTCATGATCACCTGTCAGGCGCACGGCTCAGATGTCACGATCAGCTGTCAAGCGCACGGCTCAGATGTCATGATCAGCTGTCAAGCGCACGGCTCAGATGTCATGATCAGCTGTCAAGCGCACGGCTCAGATGTCATGATCAGCTGTCAAGCGCACGGCTCAGATGTCATGATCAGCTGTCAAGCGCACGGCTCAGATGTCATGATCAGCTGTCAAGCGCACGGCTCAGATGTCATGATCAGCTGTCAAGCGCACGGCTCAGATGTCCACGTGAATGTCCATGTTGAACACGTCACCACCACATGTACACGAGGCACCGATTACCAGCCTGTGTGCGTTCCGTATACTTCGCAGAGTTCATCTCCTCCCTATACTGCACTCAAGCTGCGTCCGCACTGCACGTTTTCAGCATTTGCTTCCTTCGACCGATCCCCCGCAACTATTCCGCACCCGTTCTGCGGCCGAGCTGCCGCCACACCACAGCCTGCGTCAGTTCGCTGTTGGTGTGACCACAGCCTGCAGCTGGGGTGCGTTGCAGGTGTACTTCCAGCGCGTGCTGTCCTCCAAGAGCCCGCGACGGGCGCAGCTGCTCAGCTTCGCCGCTGCTGGCGGCTGCATCTTCCTGGCGATCCCGGCCGTGCTCATCGGCGCCATCGCCCACGGCACCAGTGAGTGACGACTCCCCTCACTCACACACTCCACACTATCCCTCGTGCCTCGCACGACACCAGTGAGTACCGACTCCCCTAACACACACACTCCACACTCTCCCTCGTGTCGCGCACGGCACCAGTGAGTGCCGACGCCCCTCACCCACACACTCTACACTCTGCTCCCTCGTGTCGCGCCCCTGTCTCGTCGCCGCCGTTTGGTGGCAGGTGGTCGGAGCTGGCGCATGACCGGGTGTCGCCGCCGTTTGGTGGCAGGTGGGCGGAGCTGGCGCATGACCGTGTGTCGTCGTCGCTAGGCTGCGACGTTGCCGACTGTTCTGGTTTCTGACGTTGGACGGCAGTTGTGTGTGACTCTGGTACGGTTTGGAAGGATGTGTGCCGATTATTGCCATGCCACATTTCTACCATTTTTCTGCTCCACGCAATCACGTTTTGTCGGCTCAACCTGTGGGAATAAACAGTGGTGTTGGGGACAGTGTGTTTTGCATACGACACTTGTTGGCTTCACGATATTTTGCTCCCCATTTGTTCCGCTGGTGTTATTCTTTAGCCACTGGATGTGTCAGGGTATTCTTTGCATTTCACGTCTTTTACGGCGCTTGATATACGGAAGGCATGCCTTTTCAGCTCCTTGTTTTTCAGCATTATGAGCCCGGAGTTGATGTTCTGGTCCTCGCATCAATTCCATTTAGCATGACAGCTCTGAAGCCCTTTTTCGTGCTGTTTATCCAAATATCATTCGATTCGTTGGCGGTAATATGAGGTCTCCGACGTGCCGGCACTGTACTGAAATAGTCAAATAGATTGTTATGGAAGTGCTGTCAGGAGCATTTTAGTTGTAGTCCTCCGGTGACATTGCACTCACGTCTGTAAGTCGGCTAGTGGCAACCATGCGCATGGGCGTGAATGAGGCCGGTGCTCTTGTGGTCGAGACATCCACACAACAGGGCGCCAGATGCTCTCTCCAGTGACGCTCAACCCGTCTGTTTGTCATAACAGAGTGGGAGCTGACCGAATACGGCAAGACGCCCGCCGGCACCGACACTCGCTTCGTCCTGCCGCTTGTGATGCAGTACATGACGCCAAGTGTAAGTATTCCGCGGCTGCCAACACGCGTGTTGGTGGAGTACTGACGCTTGTGATGCAGTACATGACGCCAAGTGTAAGTGTTCAGCGGCTACGAACACGCGTGTTGGTAGTTCTGACGCTTGAGATGCAGTACATGACGCCAGAAGACAGCCTTTAATGGCTACCAACGAACGTATAAGTAGAGTGTTGCTTTTCGCCACGCAGTAAATGGGTCAACATGTTAGTAATCGTCAGCCACCAATCCCGACACTGGCTTAATATTACATACCGCCATGTGAGGCATAACACTAGATTGGAGCATTCATCTGCTTTGCGAGTGTTCAGCCGTTGCCGATGTAAACATTTAGCGATTACTATTTCCAGATTTTTAGGAGCGATACCTTGCTTGCCATCTGTAGAATTAGGGGAACAATGTGTATAGAATCAGTATCTAAAGCCAATAATGTCGGCAGAATCACTGGTCTGTTTGCCCTGCTGCCTCCAGCGGGTGATGTATGCGAACTCAGCAGCCAGTGAACATGCAACCGATGAACACCAGCCGGTGAACAGTAACTGATTGTTCAGGTTCGCGTTGACTGTACTGGCTTCCTGCACCCCTTTTCTTGTTTGTAGTGTGCGTGCCTCTCACAGCACTCTGTGTATGTCTAAGTCTGCACTCGTACTGTTGTGCTGCACATCGCTGTTGCACAGTTCTTGCACCCTAATGTTGTCTTGCTGTGGTGTTGCTCTTCGCTTCACATTAGCAGTTGTGATAGTGATTTGCTTTTAAGGCGCGTCAACTGCAGTGGTCATTTGCACCCTTCGCTTCGCATCGGTTGCCTGACTATATCTCTGTTTTTACATGCTCTTTCCTGCAGTGAGTGGAGTGCGAAACCACAGCAAAGCCACCGTGGTTATCGCGCCACGCCTGCGCTTGCCGCAGTGTTGCGCATCGCCCTTGCCTTGCCCTGACCCTTCCCTTACCCCACCCTGACCCCGTCCTTACTCCGCTCTGGCCCCGCTCTGACCCCGCCCTGACCCCGCCCTGACCCCGCCCTGACCCCGCTTTAACTCCGCCCTGACCCCGCCCTTACTCCGCTCTGACCCCGCCCTGACCCCGCCCTGACCCCGCCCTTACTCCGCTCTGACCCCGCCCTGACCCCGCCCTTACTCCGCTCTGACCCCGCCCTGACCCCGCCCTTACCCCGCCCCCGCCCTTACTCCGCTCTGGCCCCGCTCTGACCCCGCCCTGACCTCGTCCTCGTCAGCTGACCGCTCCGCCATTGTGTTCGGCAGTGGGTGGCCTTCATCGGGCTTGGAGCTGTGTCGGCGGCGGTCATGTCCTCGGCTGACTCGTCCGTGCTCTCGGCGTCCACCATGTTCGCCAGGAACATCTACAAGAACGTGCTCCGGCCGCAGGTATGAGTACGCGCGATGCAGGTTAGATCCCCTTGAGGCATGATATCGGCTCGCTGCTATTGTTCGCAGATTCTTGGGCTCAAGACTGTTCTTGTCAGCTGAGAGTGACTTCGAACCCGTCTGCTGATCTGGGATTCGTATTTGGTCCGCCGATTGATGATCTGGTGAAGTATTCTGCAGTATTGATAATTTGGTGCAGTGTTCTGCAGTGTTGGTGATTTGGTGCAGTATTCTGCAGTGTTGATGATCTGGTCCTGTCTTCCGCAGTATTGTGCTGAAGGGTCAGCCGTGATATGCTCACTGTGTGGCCTCACATTTGATCATGTCTGTTGACCTGCACCGGGCGCCCCTGCGCCACGGAAGACGGTGTGCCGCAGTCAGAGCGGCACCTGAGTCGTGACCGTGCGGCGCGCCGCAGGTCCGGATCATAGCCCGCTTCTGGCCGAGGCTTACGTTGTCCGCGGAAAGGAAAGGTGGTCGTGGAGAGTCGTGACGCTGGCCGATGTCAGGTGCTGGTGGCGTCGTTGACTCTCCCCCCCCCCCCCCGCCCAGTAGACGTTATTTATGAAAACAGCGACACTTCTTCGAGCACCTCAGGAGAGCACCTGCTTTTACAGGCGTCTGACGGCGAAACAATCATAGTGATGAGGCTAGCCATCATCGCCACCGCTGTCATCGCCACTGTCATAGCCATCGTGGTCAAGTCAATCTATGGCCTCTTGTGAGTATCAATGGTCCGGCGCTCCAGTGCTATAAGTGGCAGAGCAACGGGCTTCGGATCAATAGACTTGGGTTCGAAACCCGTGCTTTGCCGAAATATTTTGATGACACAGTTGTGGCCGTAAGCAAGAAACAGTAATGGGTGTTAGGGCATATAGCTGCACAAGTTGGCAACGAATGGTCGAGTTGAAGCCGCTGCCAGTGCAAGGATGCGACATGTCGCTGGGGTGGCTTTTTGGCTGTTCTTGTAGGCGTAATGTATCCCTGCGGGGCGCTTTCACTTTGCACGAAGGCATGCCGTGGTGCCGCCGCACAGCTGACGTCGTTTGTCTTCGTCATACGCTGGTTGTGTGTGATAAATATGGCAAATCCTCGGATTTTTCGAACAGTCCAACCTGATTTGATTGCATTCCCGTGCCCCGAGTTCACAGCATGTCGTCATTTGTTGACACAGGGTCTCCCCCACCAGTCGCCTGTGCAATAATGCCTTTGTGAAGACTGCGTTGTGGCACGCACAGCCCACGAATGTGCCTGAATCAACAAACATGTATCGGAGCATCCTCTCTTTAGCAGCTGTGCCAAGCCAACCGTTTCCACCAGTCTCCATGCTCAATTGCATATGACGTTTTGGGTGGTGTTTCCGCGGTCGACTGTGAAACACATTTGGAACCCGCACCCGCTGTTACAGCGTCTCTGTTTGGAATTAAAAGTACTTAATTTTACTTCCGCGGCTAGTGATCCTGTCATATTTGGTTGCACGCCAGTTCTTTGGACCTAGTGTTCCTGACAATGTTCCCACAGCGGCTTATTGTGATGCTCTGTTACAGCTTCCTCTGTTCGGACCTGGTGTTCGTGATACTGTTCCCGCAGTTGGTCACTGTCGTGCACATGCCTCGGCTGACCAACACCTACGGCTCGTTTCTCGCCATGCTGGTGGGACTCACTCTAAGACTCGCAGGTGAGGGGTCACGAGTCAATGTGAGCAGTTGGAGCTCCAGTTGACACCCACACCGATGTCGAGATCTGCGTTGTTTTGAGACGTTGATAAAACATTCAAACGTACGTGCTGAACAGACATAGGATTTAGGCGTTAGGTGGTGCGCTGTAATGTTTGTGGTGTTCGTCGTGTGCATTATGTCTGGGGTTGATGTGTCTGCCCGTATAATTTTCGTTGAAATAATCGGTGATGAAATGCTGGGTTATGTATACCTGGCACTAATCATATATATATATATATATATATATATATATATATATATATATATATATATATATATATATATATGTGTGTGTGTGTGTGTGTGTGTGTGTGTGTGTGTGTGTGTGTGTGTGTGGTGTGCGTGTGCGTGTGCGTGTGCGTGTGCGTGTGCGTGTGCGTGTGCGTGTGCGTGTGCGTGTGCGTGTGCGTGTGCGTGTGCGTGTGCGTGTGCGTGTGCGTGTGCGTGTGCGTGTGCGTGTGCGTGTGTGTGTGTGTGTGTGTGTGTGTGTGTGAGACCCTGGCGTAGGTAAATTGTATAAGGTTTCTTTCTGTCCTTCGTCGAGTTTTCTAATTATTGCTCTCTGCTCATCGTTGCGACTAAAAAGTAGCTCGCCAATGTTTGGCATCTATTGATTGTACCAACTTTTCGGAATGGCATATTCCATTTTCAAAGGTTCACACGGACAGACAGAGGTACAGACAGCATACAAGTGACGAATATATGGTTACATATTACAGTTTGGTGTAACAGCTAGGTTTCATCAAGTCCAGTTCAATCGCCAGATTGTTTGGTCTCAATGAGGCTGTTGACTTTTTTGGGATCATAAGGAAACAAGCGGCAAAACGTGTGCTGAATAGTAAGATATACCGTCTACCAGTAAGATATACCAGTCTACGGATGGTATCGATCGTCCCTAAGTGAGGTGAAGGGTGACTGAGGTGATGGTTTGGTTGTTTAGTTCTGGTGATGATGTTTTGCTCGTGACAGCCTCCAGAACGTCACAGTTTCTTCTGGTCGATGATAATGTTATCATGGTAGCGTTTCTGGTGAGGTCGTCTCAGTTAATGTTCCCGCGGTTTTCTTTTCGCACGTGCTCTTTGGAGCACCGTCAGCCAAGCGCATCGTCAACCGCCTTGAAAGTGTGGTAGTACTGACACTAGTGACACTTAGTATAATCAACATGCCTGTTTGTGCCAAATCAAGATGCCAAACATTGGCGAGCTACTGTTTAGTTGCAATGTTGAGCAGAGGGCCATAATTAGAAAACTCGATCAAGGACAGAAAATCTTATAAAATGTACCTACACCGGGGTCTTTAATCAACACTTGCAAAGCGTACAATTTGTTGTCTACACATACCAATATATATATATATATATATATATATATATATATATATCATGTCCTCTACTGTAGGCTATTGTTGGTCACACCATGCTGAACATGCTGTCATTATTAAGTTGCGTAATAATCAGTGAGCGGCGTGGTCTCCCAGCCAGTGCGGCACCAGCATGGCAACTTCACACGGTATTCTCGCAGATTTTGTTAAAATTTGGCACCAGAGGCTATCTGATACATAGAACTCACCTGGAAAACTTGAACAAGGGCAAAAACTCCATAAGATGTACTTGCGCCAAGGTCTTAAATCAACACCTGAATAGCGGACAATTTGCTGCCTACACATGCCTATATATGTATATATATATATATATATATATATATATATATATATATATATATAGAACTATCATCAAGAGATCAAAGAAAGGGAGTGACACAGCAAAAACCGTCATCGCGAATTTCGCCATGCTTTTCGATGTTGTGAAATGCACATGCAAGTCTCAGCGCAGCTTTCCATGCCCAATTGCCTTCACAATGTATCAAGAAGAGGCTGCCCTGATTGACCAGTGCAGGCACCGGAAGCTTACCCTGTGGTCATATCACCGGGAAACTACCGTGGCCAGGGAGGCTCGCGAGGTGCGGAGGATGGCCAGACAAATCCAGGGGCGTCGTGGATCGGCGGCCAGTGAGGCGGTGTCTGTTGCTGAACCGCAGTCGCCTTCCCCGCCAACTGCTGAGCCCGCGCCGCCTGCTGAACCAGCGCTGGCTGCTAGTGCTGAACTCGAGCCTGCTCGGGGACCAAGTGGTCTCAGCGCTGGCGAGTCAGCCGAGAGCACGGTTTCCTACACGGTTCCGTACATGGCGGAAGGTGGCGACGATGCCGATTGCTCGTTCCGGTTGAGACCACTGTCACTGTAGGTTGTAAGGTTAACGACCTGACTAACACCGCTCTGGCGGTTGAGAGCTACGATGGCTCGAACTGGGCCGCTGCTGCTATCATCAACGCCTTTCAACAAGACAGCGGAGACGGACTGGTCACTTGAAATCAAATATCGTAGATTCTAAGAAGATCTGCTGCGCAGGAGACGAAGCGAAAAAGGAGACGGCTCGTCAAAATGCTGGAGCCATCCACGAGTCAGGTTTGACCATCCTCTACTCCGACGGTCGCGAAGGCAGGGGCTACAGGAGCCACACAGCTCGGAGCCACGCCAATGTCGTCGAAAAACAAGTTGTCATCGCTGAGCCAGGCAGCCGCCGCGTGCCTCATTTTACGTCCGAATTCGGCCGCGCCCTGCACTCGTTCAACGAGCTACACTCCGTAAGCCCGCCGTGCGACAGTCACATCAATGTGTTCGGCTGCGATGGCAAGGCCGTCCACATCAAGGGATATTCAATGTCTTCCGGCCGTTTGAGATGGCCGCCAAGTCACCCATGCTCGGGTTCATATGCCAGCTGCACGGCAACGAGCTGAACCTCCTCCATTTGCTGCTGATCTTGGACGGCACGACCAAGGGATCGATTTTTTTCTGGACCCATCAGCAAGACCTGCGCAGGAGAGGTCTGGGAGAGGGACCTTGTGGCATTCAAGCCCACGCCGGAGCACATGTCAAACCTGCCGGTTGACCTGATTCAGCAGCTGAACACCAACTAGCAGCTGCTGTATCTTCTGGCCTTCGGCGTTCAAAACGGCTCTGTCCGAAACGTGGCAGCCTAGCGCCAAATCGGACCATCGAACAATGTTAGGTAAATGTGACAACACATTATCTTAAGATTGATTACAATCAGTGTTTCAACTTCATGAAGTATCAATGGGTATTTCATGTGCTCACTACTGAGCATTTACTCAAAATCATACCTCGGGCCGTAGTTTTCACTTCACTTGCTCGTTGCTTCATGCTTACTAGTACAGTTGTTGATACGCATTCCGTCACATTTAAGGACTCTGGATATCGGCATAATTGCATACGCTAAAGAGGAGCAATAATTCGTGCATGATCTAATGCATAGTTCGTAACAAATTGTTCTGATATATTTGCTTTTGGTTTCAAATGGTTGAACTGGCCACTCGCCTGCTCCTAGCTTACATATCTACCGATAACTCTAGCAGCATTCTCAAGGACCTCGTCCGGTGCGTGCTCGGCCACTATGTGCCGGTATGGTCCGCCATCCGGCAGAGCAGCAGCTACGACTTTGGCCTACGCAACTTGTTCCGAAGCATTGCGCTGCTCCGCGAGCTGCAGCAGCACACATAGACCGTGGCGCAGCCCGTTCTCCAGGGCATCGGGTACTGGGCCCTTCCAGAACAGCTGCTGCTGGACATGGCGTGGGATGAGGACCGCGTGGTCCACGAACAGACGGTTCTGATCGTCGCTCCGCTCGTGAGCAGCAAACCGAGGGTGCTCTTCAGCCCAGGGTCTTTCCCATCCCAGCGATAAACTTGAAGGCCGTGAGGTACATTGAACTGATCCCTGGCACCGACCAGCCACACATCCTCCACTGCGAGACCTCAGCATCTGCGAACTGCGGAACGACGTGCAGGCTCTGCTGGCCATCTCAGCCTATCTGGCTCACACTAGAAGTGCGACCAGCGCCGCATTGCCGAGGACGTCTGGGGCTGGAGCTGGAGCTTCGGCAATATGTGGAGCCCAGCTGCGACGGTATTTCTGCCACCGTGCGATCTCCACCAACACGTGCTTCGGGTTTCCAGTCTGTGAGCAGCTGCTGTTTGGGTCGGTGCATCAAATAAGCAAGCTCGGCAAGGAGCAAGATGTGCATGGTGCCACGCTCCCCCCCCCCCCCCCTCCCCTCCCTCCATCTCTACGACCGTGGTACAGGCAGTAGAACTTGCTATATGTATTAAGTTGTACACTAGACAACATTTTCTGAGTCATATGCTATGCATGTTTTTGTTTGCATCAGGTGAGTTGTCTTAAAGAAGTGAAAGTCTAAAGCAATATTAACCAACATACTCATACAACGAGTTCATACTCAACAGCACATAACATTTCCGCCATATAGAAATCAATCGGGCAATGCCTGATCCGCATAATAGACCTCAGACTGTGGCACTCCCGCACGACGGTTTAAGGAGCGCTTGGTTGCGTCGTTTCCATGCGCAAAGGTATCTTGTATCGCTTACTACCCACGGCTTGGTGTTGCTTTCGGCGGTGAACGCGGCCCAGCTTGGGGTGACTGCAATGCCGGGCGTCGGTTTACGCCGATATTTCCAGCGGCTCGCGCGTCACGAATTTAAGTTTTTGGGAAGAGCTTTTGCTATGCCGTGTACTTTTGGACTCCTGCGCCAAATAATTTTTCTGTCTTACTTGGTTTTGTTACAAATCACACACCCTAATATATATATATATATATATATATATATATATATATATATATATATATATATATAATGTCCTCTACTGTAGGCTGTTGTTGGTCACACCATGCTGAACACGCTGTCATTATTAAGTTGCGTAATAATCAGTGAGCGACGTGGTCTCCCAGCCAGTGCGGCACCAGCAGGGCGACTTCACACGGTATTCTCGCAGATTTTGCTAAAATTTGGCACCAGAGGCTATCTCATACAAAAAATTCACCTGAAAGACATAAATTTCCTCTGAGTTACGGGTCACGAGATATGCCCGAGGCATCTTCATAGCTCGAGCTAGCATTGGTGTGCCTCTAACGTCTTGACACCTATAATAATACATGCAAGTTGAGAACGCGTTTGTTTTCGAGATTGTGAAGGCCTGAACCATGAAACTAGGCAAACAAAATTCACCTAGATTAATTTGGAAAAACGTTGACTTAATAACCGTAGTTCAAAGGTCATATTTTCAGCTTCGCATGTCCGTTCTCAACTTTTATTCTGTAGGTAACACTTTTCACATGTTATGTTTCTAAAACAAAAAATAATATTCGGGGTTACGAGCCTCGAAATAAGGTCCTCATGGCTTAAGACATGGCCCTTTTGGCTTCTTTTGGCACTCGCACGTCACCAAAGCTGGGTGTTAGTCTTCCACCTGTCATATGGCTCTAATATAACGATGTTCACTCATATGTCCGTACAAATTGGTACCAGGGGCTCATGGGTACGTCCGATCAGCCCACCTCACTGCCACGTGTGTCTGACCCGCGGACGCGAGACACGCAGCCTGAGACCATTCGTGGGGTCTGACGTCACGCTGGTATGCGTATGACGTCATAGCGCCGACAAAAATGCACAAAATACTTATGCGCATATGCTTCTACGAGCCTACACACTACAACGAAATGATATCACGCTAGGTACTGATATTGACTTAATACTATTACAATTGCAAAAACTATTATACTAGCATCAAATAATCGTGCAAATGCAGGTGAATTACCCCAGCGAGATCGGACAGAGGTCGACATACTGCATTTACGTAGATTGACCAACGGCAGGAGGTGTCGATGAAAACACGCCATGTTTTACCTAAGCACTATGGATATCCGATGTGCGCTCGCGAAAGTGAATGAAAAAAACAGGGTCTTTAAGCCCGCTGCACGTTTCTTTTCCGAATCAGCACAGAGACTCATCAATCGTCGCTGGCCAGCTGATGCATGACCACTGGTCTCGCCCTGCTTCAGTTGAAATAAACCGGGGCTGATTCTGAGTACCGGAAATCGTCTTGACCTGGGCAAATCATGCAGCGAGATTCTCGACCATGGCCGCGACCTTTGATTGGCTGATGTTATGGAACTAGACACCGATGACCACTTTCTGTATGGAATATTTGCACTGACTCGTGTTTATACTCGTACTCGTACTCGAACTCGTACTGCCCTTGACTCGAAGAATGTGACTCATAGCATTACGGATGGGGGTCTTTCAAGTCACGGCTCGCTTCACGGCTTCCCCCCTCTTCCCTAAGTCACGGCTCGCTTCACAGCTTCCCCCTCCCTAAGTCACGGCTCTCTTCACGGCTTCCCCCCCTCTTCCCTAAGTCACGGCTCTCTTCACAGCTTCCCCCTCCCTAAGTCACGGCTCGCTTCACGGCTTCCCACTCCCTAAGTCATGACTCTCTTCACGGTATCCCCCTCCCTAAGTCACGGCTCTCTTCACGGCATCCCCCTCCCCCCTAAGTCAAGGCTCGCTTCACGGCATCCCCCTCCTCCCTAAGTCACGGCTCGCTTCACGGCTCCCCCCCCTCCCCCCCCCCCCCCCTCCTCCGGTGCCACTGCATGCTGTTTTGGCGTGATATGTACAGAAAATTCCACTCAACAGGCGTTCCAAAATCTGTGTAATGCGTGTGGTTAGCGTGCGCTCTGGTGGGATCGATTTGCCCCCCTCCCCCCTACCGAGATGTGTCTGAAGAAGCGTCGGAACAGTGAGGTATAGCCACGCGAAATTTTGCCGATCTGTCAACAAATGGATAATCTATTTCTTATACCAAATCAAATGTACCTCGTTAGCTTGCTAACCCCGAGCTGGCCGAAATAAGTCCATTGCTGTAAGTGTGGACAATTCCTGGAGAGCCGTTCAGTATGTTCCGATAACGGAGTGTAAGACGAAGCCACGCAACTTTGAGAAGGTTTCATGGTATCGACATTGGACACAACTGAGTTCACACAAATCCCTACCTACCCTGTGAGCTTGGTGTGACTAGCCCTCTCAGTTTTTGAGATTGCAGGGGCGGAGAGGGGGGGGGGGCTAAAAGTGACTGACCCACCCGAGCACGTCGTATTCAGCGGGTCATCAGGGCGCGTGATTACAATGTTGATTATTGTTAATGTTCCACACAGCCATCAGAAATGCATCGAATTTGTCAGACATGAAGAATCATCAGCCCTTCTTTAACCAAATACTTTATAAACACGTGTACAGTGACTTCGTCGCGTTTGGTCCAACCCGACAGCATGCAAAAACGTCGATGTTGTATCGTTCCATCTTCACCTAAACAGCAGACTAAACGTGGGCTTATCCCGGTGCCACCCAGGGCAGAATAGGGAAAAAACAAAAAAGAAATAGATAATAGAAAATAAAAAACACATCTTTGCAGAGTTGCTGACAGCCCCAACTTCCTCAAGCGTAATGGACGCCTTTGCTTCTTTTAACAACTGCATTTGTTTTTTTAGCGATGTCGTGGTGGCAACCTAGTGTTTTTTTTATGATTCTTCCCAACGTCGTTATAAAATCGTCGATATTTTCAACCAACTCCACAAAATGTACGGCGGTCTTTTGACACCTCTTGTTCATACTGAAAATGGGTGTGTGTAGGGGGGGGGGGGATATCCCACGTATCTGTGTGCGCACAACTTTCAGACCATGTCCAAAGTTGAGGATAAGCCCTGGCATCCGCTCGGGACCCATTTTGCAGCCTGTTGGCAAGGCAGAGCTGGTATTGTTGTCAATCACCCCCCTAAACTCCACACGAGAACCACGCCCGTGCTGCCCACCAGTCAACTGACCCCACGTCAGCTGACTGCCCCCAGGCTGTCCCGGGCCGCCGAAGCCGGTGCATGCGCAGTCTACGAGGGTCAGTCACTGGACACCCGGCATGCAGTGACACAAACGACGTGGGCCATGCGGAACGAGCAGCCGAGGCTGGGCGCCGCTGCTACAGTGACCTGGTGTACCTGAGCCGAGGCTGGACGCCGCTGCTACAGTTACCTGGTGTACCTGAGCTGAGGCTGGACGCCGCTGCTACAGTGACCTGGTGTACCTGAGCCGAAGCTGGGCGCCGCTGATACAATGGCCTGGTGTACCTGGACACTGAATTACCAAATTATTCGTCCTGAATTACCGGGTGTAACGAAATCGAGTTCGTAGCATGCACACTACTTTTTGTCTTTATTAGTGTTACACCTCCATCACATCAATCACATCTCAACGTTACGTCAAATCCTATAAATAGCCTCGGCCTATATATATCGTGACCAGTAGGCCAGACAAAACTGATCCTGTGCTTAGTGAATTCTGCGCGCAAACAACCAGTGGTACCGGTTTGAAAATAATTATGAATGATTATCAATGCATTAGAGCTGCGTGATAGTTTGTAGACAATCATCCAATTTCGGTGATGTCCGAATGGCAGTATGAGTGAAAAGGGACATGTTTTAAGCCATTGGAAACCTATTCGGACATTCTTACCCTCGGATTTTATTCTTATTCTGGAAAGACAGGTTGTGAGAGGACTATTATTTGACGTTCATCAACAGAATGGAAAGATAAGAACCGACATTATGAGAAGTTCAAACGGTCACCTTTTCATCTAAGTCGCAAGACATTCCGTACAACTGGACTTAGTTGTATATCTCAACTTGCATTGCACAAATCATTGCGATCTTGAAAATGTCCATGTTGAGAATATTTGGTGCATTGTTATTGGTGCTTCATGTATATGGCGCTGAGAACACACCAATGTCAACTCCAAGTATTAAAACACCTTTGGGCACACCTCGTCACCCATAATTCGAATGACCTTTTGATTGCGTCAGGCTGGTTCGCTCATCAGCCAACCCTTTTTTATAAATTTATCCCGAATGGTTTGTATGGCTGACTTCGGATTCAGAGTACCTGCTAAGCATAGCTTGCTGCGTGTACCCCGAACCCATCACCCAAGCGTGCCGTCCAGTTCTACAGATAATTTTGCCTCCGCCCTTTCGCCGGACAGGAATGCGGAGGGTTTTACGTGCCGAACAATGCTGCGACACGGCCGCTTCGGGTCTGGGTTGAGCCTCGTTGGCCAGTTGCCAGCTGGCCTTTCCGTTTCAGTCGGGTCAAACAATGCGCCCACTCCGGGACTCGTACCCAGTGCCGCTGGATTACGAGTCCAGCATCTTTCCCCAAGACCACGGGGGCGGCAAAACCCTTACTTCACCCTTACTTCAAATTATGTAAAGTCTGAGACATGGCCGTGTCTGTCGTCCTGCGCCGCGTGGGAAACCGCACCAGGTAGCCATGCCAACGGCAACGGCATGTGACTCCACAGAATGCGGTAAAAGACGTGCGTATTGTTAAACCGGTTCATCACGAGCTTGATGCACATCTCGCTTGATGTTTGGCCATAGCGGCCAGAGTCCGCACCGAACAGCGGTGCTTCGTCGCCACTGAAGATTCACCGTTTAGGCGGACACTGTTCACAGTTCTCATATAGATCGCATCACATCACATGTCTCACTTGGTGGCAATCACTCGTAATTATTTTCGAACCGGTACCAGTAGTTGTTTGCGCACGTAATCCACTAAGCACAGCATCAGCTCTGTCTGGCCTGCTGATCACGATATGTATAGCCCGAGGCTATTTCTAGGACTTGACGTAACGTTGATACGTGATGGAGGTGCAGCACTGATAAAGATATTGGATTGTACTGCAGAACACAGTTCAGAAGAGTTCTCGGCGCTCTGTCGACATGATGTCAACTAACAGTTTGCGTCTTTGCCGACAGGTGGTGAGGCGTTGATCGGTCTGCCACCGGGGATCGAGTACTGGTGGTATGACCCCACCGACGGTCAGCTGTTCCCCTTCCGGACCTTCTCCATGGTCTGCTCGTTCGCCACGTTGATTGGGTCGTCGCTACTGATCGAGAAGGCCTTTACCTCAGGTGAGGGGCGGACAGGGCGAACAGATAGCGAAAAGTTGGATAAAATTACGAACGAAGTGTTCGTATGAATTGTGGGACAGTGTTTTCGCGTCCTGCTGCGTCGTTGCTATTTGCGGTCTGATTACGCTGTTTCCGTGTCTTCAAAACAGAGTCAAGCTATAAATTTGTCATAGGTTGTCTTTAGTTATACAACTTCGAGATGATTCTAAGACAAGTAGAACATTTCAGATTAAATTAATCCTAATCATACTGACCTTGGGTGTTGTATGACGGTTGGTGCGAGGTCAAAATAAAATCACTTTATCCCAGAGAGGCTGCTCTAGTAGGTAATGTTTGGCGGTCATTTCGAATTACTGGATGACAATTGGTCCTCCCACGTCCTCATTCTCGCTTCCTTCTGCATCCTCATAGCACCCCGCTTGTCCGGGGCAGGCTGCTTGCGCCGACCACGAGTGGGCCGAAGCGTCCCTGGCGGAGACCCCGTCCGAGCGCCAAGCGTACACCCCGCAAAGAGGTCTGCGCAGGCATAGCCTCGGGGGATGCCCCCCCCCCCATGGGCACGTAGTTCAGACATAAGGGCACAAAGACACCTGACCAACAAAGAGCCACAGGGGCCCATCGATATTGACCTTCCTCCTGTCTCTATTTGGTCCCAGTCCTACCTCTGACTAAATCAAACTGGTTTCCTCTAAGCCTCGGCCCAACTTCTAGTGTTCCGTATAGATCTACCTCAGATCTACCTCATGTCATAATCTTGAATTCTTTTATCAGCTCCCCTCCAAGTCAATGATATTTCAGTGAATTCAAGTCTAAGGCTGCAAGCCTTATATTCTGTATCATCTATCACATTTATCATCCTAGCTGCCTATTGCTGCACTTTTTCCAGTTTATCTATATCGTTTTGGAAGCATGGGAACCAAGCACGTTAAAAATACTCTAGGTGTGATCTGACGTCAGCTAAGCACAACTCTTTGATAATATTTCTTCTTTTGTAGTGAATACTCCTATTTTATAGGTCCCATCATCTGGAGTGTCTTGTTCTCAGCTGCCCCTTATTGCTTTTTAGCCTTTCAATCCCTGAAAATAATGACACTAAGCCCTTTTCTTCCTTGGTCTTGCATTCTCCAGTTCTGCTTGGCCACCTTTATGAATTCTCTTTTTACTGGCCTAAAGGAATTTGATCCAAATACCTTACATACCAAACCAGACTGCAGCAGCGTCAAAAGTTTCGCTTTGTCTTACCTCATGAAGGCCAGGGAAGGTCACGAGCCAAGAATGACCTCAATTAACCTTTTATGTTGGAGAAGCTACCTTGGATAGTACTCGGCACCGTTTGCAAACTCACTAATGCTCTCTCATTCAACATAATTCCGGAGGGCTTTGATCATTTTACTGATCAAAGGTCACTGACCTATGGTCACTGACCCGACGTGGACGCTAGTGACATTTTCCTTAAGAGGTATCTAGATTAAAGTTGGATAACATAATTATGTTTTCTGCATGAAAAGAGAAGAATACAAAAAAAGAAAAGAAAAAGAAAAGGGAAAAAGAAAAGGAAAAAAAGAGAAGAAAAAAGAAAAAGAATGAAAAGACAAAAGAGAAAAAGAAAGAAAAAAAAGAAAAAAAGAAAAAAAGTATGTCATGCACTGCTCTTTAACATGCCGCGGTAAGACACAGATCCTGTGTGATATAGCCTGTGACTGGATTGCCGCTGAGACATGAGGGCTAATGGAATGGTGTGTACGCCAGGCTTGGATTGCGCGTCAGATTAGCCCAACTAATCGTCACAGACGTTTGGTTCCTGGCAGGCATAATGTAGTTAGCGTTAGCATGTCGGTCTGCGAATGTCAGACGCAGCGCGTCAGACACGCTGACGCTATTCCGGCCGCATCACCGCGTGGGTTCGATTCCTCGGAATCTCTCGACGATACGAGCCCGTGACGATAAGCATTCGTACGGGTGCTTGTGGTGCAACCTTACATGCCGTGTTAAAAGATCTGCTTCTATTCGGGTGGTAGGTGTGTGCACAGTTATCTGGGCTCAACTTAGCTTTTCCAAAACATCAGCCATGAGCAGGACCGGACCCGGCTAGCCAGGGATCCAGCCAGCAGCAGCCTGCTCTGCTACCGTGCTGGTCTGGTATCAGCCATGAGCTGAGCCGGGTCCGGCCAGCCAGGGATCCAGCCAGCAGCAGCCTGCTCTGCTGCCGTGCTGGTCTGGCATCAGTTTGTGACTACTGGTTTGAGTGCACTTTGCATTCGGCACTGTGTTCGTAATTGTGGACATGCACATGAAATGAGCACCAATACGTTATCAGAGTCATCATTACACAGCAACATTTGCCAAATACCAGCGGTCGGCCTTGCGCAGCAGTGATAAAGTTACCTGGATAATGACATTTCTGTAGTACCAAATTTCATATTTCACACTGTGATACCAGTTTACAACTTCCAATGAGAAGGAAACTGATCGAGGTCAAGGCATATTGTTAGTAAGACCAGTATTTCTAAAACTACCTGTATAACCTTAGGGTATTTACATTGACAGAATGTAAAGAAATGCCAGATATTACGTAAGTTGTTAAATGCATTTCCAAGGAACAATACAAAGGCAGAACTATTACCGTTATTCCTCGTAGACTAACCAGCTATGTATAGTTTAGGAGCAGGCCCATTGCCACCTTAGCAAGTTTTTCGTCATATTCATGATACTAAATTTGTGTATCAACAAAGAAATAATCGCGACAGAAGCCATTCGAGACACGTGCAACACAAAGGCTTCGGGTCGTTACTCGTGCTTGACGCCAGCGGAATTGAATCTAACTCCGGGACGACGGCCTCTTTCGCCCGGATGGAATTCCGATCCGGTTCTGTTTACCGTTCATCGAAGCGGATTTGGAATTGCGTCACGTGATTTGCGGACAAATTGTAAGTGCGTAGATCTCGCATTGGAAATACTCTGCTCACAAAGTGAGTCAGCCACTTTCTCTGGGACATTGACGTGGCTGGCTTTGAACTGACTGTGCGTTACCCAAGCAGCGTCGCTTCTGGATGAAACATGCAAATTTGCAAAGCATTCCTACAGTGCGGCATGGAGAGCCCTGCACAGATTTGAGAGGTCAGCGCCCTCTAAGATTCCTAGTTTGATTGGCAGCTCGGCATGACCTTTCACCCTGGGCTGTTCCATGTATCAAAGTTATCTTAATTAATAATAATAACGATGTGGCGATGGACAAATAATGACGACGATATCTCAACAAATATGAAGGAAGACAGCATTGGTATCATTAGAGGAACTGATGGGCATCGACACATGCCACCTGTGATGCGCCATGCCAGATCGAAGACATAAAGACGGTTGCCGTATTGTCAGGCTACATCAAGAACGAAATAAGCCACGCCAATGTAGAGAACATGGTTTCATGGCTAGACAGGCGTGCTCAGTCCACAGCCCATGTGACATCAATATTTACATGGCATGACCTTAGAACGGCAAAATCGGTCAATCGGTAAAACCTTGGAAACGTGACCAGAAAGATAATAGTACACCTCAGAGTGCTAGAGCTAAGAAGAGAAGTCTTGAGTTTGAGCTTAAGCTTAGCTTAAACTTGGGAAAGAGATCGTAGATTGTGAACCGTCGAGGTCAGAACCTTCTAAGCTGGGCAGAATTGGTAAACGTAATCAATACTGAGATGCCTGAGGACTGAGGTACATGAAAACTAAGACGCCTGAAATTCCGGCATCATGCTCCAAACCGTTTGGAATTTATCTGGAAAAACTAGGAGGGGAGGGGGCTCTGAGGCTGTTCCCAGGGTAGCGTGAAGGTTAGATAGCATCTGCACCCCAGCATTGACGACTGACGTGATCTCCGGCATCGCCAGGTCTGCTGCCGGCACATCTGGACTTCGCCCGCTGCTTCGGCGGAGAAGAAGACGCAGCCACGGGGCTCAACTACCGCCCCAACCAGGCGGAAAAGAACGGCCTGGACAACCTGGGCCACGAGATGACCGAGACCACCGGTTTCTAGGACTACCGTTCTCCGGGCCACTGTTCTCTAGGGCTTCAACGCTCTCCAGGACCACCAGTGTCTGGGCCAACGCCCTCTGAGCCCCCAGCTGATTTGACCTGGCTAGTTCTGGGCCCCAGCTGATTTGACCTGACGAGTTCTGGGCCCCCAGCTGAGCAGCCACCACGTTGAGATGTGGATCTGATGGTGGGATCGGGATTGAGATCGGACAAGAGTGACCGAGCGGACATTCGGCATCACTGAAGGGGAGCGCACGCATTTTTTATCACGACGTTACTGCACACAAACCCATGTTAAGGCGTTGTGGTACACTGGGTGCCCTGGTTATCACCGCGCCGATACGGGTGCCGCTGCGGACGTGTGTACGGCACCTTTTTTAGAGTTGAGTAAGATGCTGACCTTATTGTCAGTCGCGGATGCTAGGCTTAAAAACATTGACAAACGATTGTCAGGTCGCCGACCGATTGAAAACACGCCAGTGACAGTGACAGGTGTTAGTCTGTCCAGTGGCACATACGGCCATGGCGCTGCAGGGGATGTATTGTAGCGAGGACAATGTCGTCCTTGATGCCGAACGTTTATCTTTCGAGTGGGATATGCTAGCGCGGCTGTTGTGTAGGCCAGACGTCATTAGGCCAGACGTCATTAGGCCAGACGTCAGTTTTCAGAGGAGGGGATCACAGTGCGGTTGTCTGCCTGTGATTTTTAGGACCTACCACAACTTATTAACGTTCAATGACGTGACAACGTTCGTCGCGTGGGGCGGAGCGCGTGGCGGGCGGCTGTAAGTGCTGCTCTCCGTCTTACTCCGAGCGCTGAAATACATTGCACTAGGCAGAAACAAGCTGCTCGACTTCCCGCTGTTACAGGACTTTGTCGCGCGTCAAGCACACACATACACATAAACGCATAGACGCATGCGCATTGGTTGGTGCCCTTTGCAGAATGTACTGGTGGATCAGCGCCCGGCCCCAGAGCTCGGTGCTGCGCGAGCTGGCGGAGGGGCCCGGTGGGAGTGTGGGACTGGCTGTCCGGGTCACCTGCGATGGGCGGACAGGCCGCGCCAATGTGTGAGCACTAGCTGGCGAGACTGCGAGCCAATGCTGTTTGGCTCGTTCGGCATGGGCTGTGTGGCATGGAAGAGAAGAGGAGCGCACGGAAAAGACGGCTTTGTCGTGGCGTTAATTTAGCGGCGGGTGTCAATGAGCATTTAAGTGTAACCACTGCGTGTGAGTGGGGGGTGGGGTGGGGGCTGGGTGGGATCTGCCCTCACCGCAATTTTGTCATTAGGGCGTTTTGCTCCTTCTAGTTTGGAACGTAAAATGCACCTTTTCCGCGATGTCTCATTCAAAATGCTGGTTTCAGGTCAGTTCGGTCTCCTTGCATCCCAGTCTTCCTGCTCCCTGCCGTCCCCGTTTGTCAATTCCAATCCTGACTTGTCTGCCCCCCCGCCCCCCCCCCCAGCACCAATCTCATAGACTTTTGTTATTTCGCGGTATTTGGTGTTATGATATTTGATGCATGTTGTCCGTCCACATGTAAACAGTGCCGGCCACGTGTCCCTGCTGAGTGCTTCAAATGTATTTGTTCGTAATTACTTCATGTTTTATGCCTCTATCTTGTGGGTCCACTTCGTTACGTGTTGTGCGTTGTTGTGATGCCTTGCTATATTGTTTCCTCTGAATGTGGGTTATGATCAGTTCCGTCCGTTTCTCTATATCGTCTTGTTTTGTGTTAGTACAGTCTGTCGCTGCGCACGTGGACGACGAGGTCAATGGCTCTTGCACCCCAATGTCATGAGAGAGCTGCTGATGGCGACCGTTTGAGGCATCGCAACAGCTCCCTTCGCAGGCGCCCCACCACAACTGTGAACCGTGTCATCGCTGCTGGCCGAAGTGCTCTGGTCGAAGCGCGTACATTCAGGGATGGAGTGATCGAAACGGAGCAAAAGGCGCGAGAAAAAGTGTGCAGATGGCGTCGCTGAGATTGAACACTCAACCGGGACGGCCATAAGTGCCCTAAACTGGTCAGAGATGCCTCGAGTCCTGGTGTTGTCTCCGTGCGTCAGCCCTGGTGTTGTCTCCGTGCGTCAGCCGTGGTGTTGTCTCCTTGCGTCGGCCGTGGTGTTGCCTACGTGCGTCAGCCGTGGTGTTGTCTTCTTGCGTCAGCCGTGGTGTCGCCTCCGTGCGTCAGCCGTGGTGTTGTCTCCGTGCGTCAGACGATCAATGCTTTCACCAACTAAGAGTCCCGTTAGTCGGTACACCTGCGCACCAGACGCGCATGTCTCTGGTGGCCGGTACGTTCTGCGGTCTTATGTGGTGAAGCGGGCTGGGAAATGTGAACACGTGACCATGAGCCGGCGCACAGTTCGAGCTGTGTGAACGGCCTTGCACTTGTACCTGTCAGTGCCTTTGGTGGTTCCCGTACGTTGCGACTGCGCGACTGTGGAGGGCCGTAGCTTAGTGAATGTACCAGTGACGGTGTAACGTGGAAACGTCGCGCGGCGCCTGCCACCGTTAAATGGCTTTATAAAACAGCGCGCTTTGACAATGGTAAACGACGTCGCAGCCATGTGATGAACAGTAATGAAACGGATATTCCCAACGCTAGCTCGGTTTTTAAAAAGGACAGTTGCCGCGTGACTCGATGATATATGTGTTTAGCTGGAAGGTGAATACAATGAGACCGGTACTCTGTTTATCCACCGGTTCAAGGTCATCGATTCAAGGTCATCAATTCAAGGTCCTCGATTCAAGGTCATCCGTGGTGGAGTTTCCTCTGAAGGCGAGACGACAGCATGCGCGGCTCCATCGTTCCAGCATGAACGTTTCAGTGCATCGTTATTTACCCCGGAAGAAAATCACTTCACTTTAGTGCAAACTGGCCACCAAGGCATCGTTGGTGACTGCAGCTCCAGACGATCCCCCTAGCCTTCACTTCACACCTGTCTGCTATTTCCCTCGCGGGATGTCTCGGGAGCGTCAACAGGCCGCCGGGTGCGATCGAGCGGCCTCTCCGAGACAAAGCCGCTGCTACCCGGGCTGCACTGCAGCCAGAGGTCAGGCGGTCCGGACTGGCCTCCGCACCAGACGTGCTGCTGCTACGCCAGGTCTCCGCACCAGACATGGTGCTGCTCCGCCAGGTCTCCGCTTCAGACATGGTGCTGCTCCGCCAGGTCTCCGCTTCAGACATGGTGCTGCTCCGCCAGGTCTCCGCGCCCGGCGTTAGCTATTCCGCCAGCTCTGGGCGTCAAGGATCAAGAGAGCACTCTCGAGACTCGCCGCTGATCGAGACTCGAGACTCGAGACTCGAGACTTGAGACTCGCAGCCGACTGGGTTAGATCAGGCCGATGCCTCAGTAGTGGGCTTGTTCAATTCGCAAAGCTTCCCGGCAGCCCAGTCCGCCCACCGTTCAACAATCGCGTCCTTGCGCCCACCACCTTGTTACCAGCATACCGCGGACAGGTCCTAGGTCACGCACTAGGTCAGCCCCGAGCAGGTCAAGCGCGAGGTCATCCGCAAACAGGTCACAGGGCACGTGCCAGGTTAGCCGCGGACAGGTCACAGGTCACGTATAAGTTCAGCCACGGACAGGTTACAGGTCACGTATGAGTTCAGCCACGGACAGGTTTCAGGTCACGTGTGAGGTTAGCTGCGGACAGGTCCCAGGTCACGTGTGAAGCTAGCTGCGGATAGGTCACAGGTCACGTGCAAGGTCAGCCGCAGACAGGTCGAAGGTCACATGCGAGGTCAGCCCCGGACAGGTCGCAGGTCACGCGCGAGGTCAGCCACGAACAGGTCACTGACCACATACCAGGTCAGCCACGGACAGGTCACAGATCATGTGTAAGAACAGCCGCGGACAGGTCACAGGTCCCTGCGAGGTCAGCCGCGGACAGATCCCAGGTGATGCGCTAGGTCAGCCGCGCCGTCCTCGCCCCGCGGCGCTGACGAGGTCGCTCAGCCTCGTGACCCGCGTGTTGGCGACGCAGCAGGCGCTGCATGCGTCGGCCGGCGCGGTGACCGCTGTTTGAGAGAGGCCGATGTCTCTGTCGTCAGTCGCCTCTGTGTTGGCCGCGTCTCTGCACTGCGTCCTACACAGACATCAAAAGCCTCCGTCGTTTAGACGAACAAACCCCGGGGCGGGGCACTAGACATTGTTGCCATCCCCTCCGCTGTAAAAAAGGTGTAGGGTTTTTGTCGCGCTGTTTTTCTGTGGTTTCGATGATATGTGGCTTTGCCGGAATCATCCTTCGCTACACCCTTCCTGAAATGAAATATTGTGTGAGATATTTCATAGTCTCAGACGCTGATAAAAATAACGAGAGATGCAGACGCAAGGCGAAATGCTTCTTTGTATGCACAACCTTCTCCGAATCCGTCTGCCGGGTGGTAAGCGCAACGCACACACACACCACAGCACGCACACCACAGCACAATTGACTTCGCAAAATCCATGGCTCGACTTTGACCTGCCGTAGATCAGCAACCTTACAAGGTACATCTAAAGTTTTGATCCCAGCGATCCGCTATTCAGTTGTCTACGACTGAGCCACAATTACAACACAGCTAAACCACAACGCTCTGCAGCTATTCAAGATTTGGTGCTGTTACGTCTCGCCATTCGGAAACCATCCATGACAAATATTCGGGGGTGGGGCGGAGATCAAATTGATCCCCCCCCCCCCCACCTCAGCACGTGTCAAGCGTTTAACACTAGTACTTCAGAACTTCACACTCGTGTGGCGATTTTTTTGGCTGGGCAAATATGCACTTAGGGAAAAATATGAGTTGCAAAAACAATACGAACTGCTGTGCAAGACGTCAGTGACCTTCTTCAGGAATGGATGGACTTGAAAATAATAGCTCATGATTGTCCTGAATAAAAGAGAAAGGAATGAAAGGAGTATTGACAAGTTCCATTGACCGCTGGGGGCTAACATCTGCTATTATTCTTGTTTCACGTCGTAACAGAGTCGCATAATGCTCCGGGGGCAATCCTCCGACTAAGTCACAGGTGGCAGGAGCACACACAGCGGCAGATTACCGCAAAAGAGCCGCCTCAACATCGACACCTTTTATTAAAATAGTGAGACGTGCACAACTGACATGGCCGTCATTTACGATTCTCGCCTGGGCCGTCCTCGACTCCTCCAGCCACGCCGCGCCGTCTCCCGAGGCCGGTCAGCTGGCGCCGCGCCGTCGAAGCTCTGTGCGGGTGTGTCTCCGCAGCGTGTCCGCCCACAGACGGCGCGTGTCCGCCTACAGACAACCCGTGTCCGCCGGCGAACGGCGCGTGTCCGCCGACAGACGACGTGTGACTGCGACCGTCGCAGCGGGGGGTGCACACACTCACACAGCGGTGCGCGCTGACCAGTGGTGTGCTGCGCAAACGTTTTACCGCTGGGCACAGCGCGGTGGGCGCCACAGCTTGCATGGCTGCGTGATCGGCGGCCGATGTCACCTGCCAGCGCTGTGCTGGCTTTAACGCGACAGACCGCCGCAGTTGCTGGCAAACACGGTGGGTCGCCCGACGGCGCAGACTGGTAACCGACACAAGGTGCCCGTGTTCGCACAGCGGCGCACATCTGCCCACAGCACGGGGTGCCGTCAAATGTGCATTCGCACATGCGGTACATGCGGTACACTCGTGCATGCGACAGCATATTTCAGGATCGGTGCGCCAGTTCAGCACAGCTCCTTTACCAACGGGGACCAATATGCACCAACATGTACACGGCGGCACTATTGCCGACAATTGACATCGCAGCCTCTGACTCAGTTGAAACGTCGGCGCCGTGTTCACCGTCTTTCTGCATTGGCCCAAGCAGAGTACCGTGTTCTGGCATTGATCCAAGCGGAGCACAGTGTTCGACAGAGCGTGGCTTCGCTGCCCTAGCGAACGGCACCGCGCCTGTTGCTGCACTGGCCGCGTGCCGCGCCTGCTGCCGCACCGACCGCGTGCCGCGCCCATCAAAGCCCGGCGCGAACAATGACCATCGAAAGCGAACAGCACGGCTTGCCCGCAGCGCTGCTGGATTGCGGTAGATGGACGGTCTGGCTCGCCCGCCCACGTCCTGTCCGGAGTCGAGACTCTATCACAGTACGGTGACCCCGCCGCAGCAGCCGCTGTGGCCGGTCAAAGGGCGAGGGACCGGGTCTGTGACTGGTCAGAAGGCGCGGGACCGGGTCTGTGGCTGGTCAGAGGGCGAGGGACCGTGTCTCTGGGTGGTCAGAGGGCGAGCGACCGGGTCTGTGGCTGGTCAGAGGGCGAGCGACCGGGTATGTGGCTGGTCAGAGGGCGAGCGACCGGGTCTCTGGGTGGTCAGGGGGCGAGCGACCGGGTCTGTGGGTGGCCAGAGGGAGAGGGACCGGGTCTGTGCCCGGTCAGAGGGCGAGGGACCGGGCCCGCCAGAGGGACCTGGGAACCGAATCTGCCGGCGGATCCTGGGGATCAGGCCCGCCAGAGGGACCAAGGGACCAGAGTGTTCGCCGACAGAACCCAAGACCGCTGGGAGCTTTGGGCCGCTTATACGATACAACGCATCCATTAACGTGAAATCCCAGGGCCGTACTTGGCCAGTGGCCAAATCCGCGCTCCTACCGTCCTGCCGGCCGTGTGATGTTTGTGCGGTGCTGCTATGTAAGGTGCGGGTTGTGTGGGTGGAGCCGTCGCGAGCAGGCCTGGAGCGGGCACACCTCGCTGGCGTCTCAACTGTTGGGGGTGGCTTCCATCAAGGTCCGCACAGCGGGTCAGCTCAGTATTGTCGCGCGTGACGTGCAGTCCCCCACGACGTCGTGTGTTGCGTGGTCTAGCTCGCACCCTGTGAACCACTGCGACGCCTGACAACGCCTGACATCAAGTCATAATCTTTGCAGCATTGTGCTAGCCTTGGACGGGCATCCCACACTGCATGCACATTGCTCACCCGCAGGCAGTCATAACGAAGCGGTTTAGGCGTGAAAGAGTGCGTGCGATTGCACAATCACAAGACTTCATGTAAACGCTAGACATCGATGTTTACCTGTAAACACCAACGAACATTACACGTGACTATATTGACGCATGACAAGGAGATGTGCCGTTTGAATGGACAGGAATAACCCTGGGATGTGATGAAAGCTCTTTGAAGGAGTGGCAAAGGAGTGTCAGGTCTCCATAGAATTGTCATCAACACGGACACATACGTTTCCTTGCCGCGTTGTCAAATTTTCACCCCTCTCAAAGCTGTGTAGGTAAACTGCTCACGCAGTGCACTGCTGCTGTAAACGCATAATGAGCTCGCCGCGTCGGGTTTATATAAGCTGCTCTCACGAGGGCTCCCTGAGCTAAATCTGCTGACCCTGTTGTGCCCATGCGGCGTGCTTCGCTTTAAGCCCACGCAAGGTCAGGTTCCGCCACCGCTCCCCAGAAGAGATCTCGGGGTGCTTTTGGCCAACTTTGGCCAGCGAGCCATTGAAAGAACTCTTCTGGCCAGACCCGACATCTACTTTATTTGGAGGACTTTTTCAAACGACAGCGGTAGATTTGAAAATAAAGGGTAAGCTAAATGCTCTGATTTATTCAACAAAAATTCCAAGCCCGTTATTCATGACGGTTCGTATGTGTTGGGGCTCTTTGCACCTTTCCCTTCCTTTCTCTTCTACTCAATAATTGTTATCGGCTCTGTCAATATAAGGCCAATAGCAGCCAAACTTTCTCGGAGCCGACAGCGGATTGCGAACCTTTTACGTTCGTGGGCGCAGGCTGTCCTACGTCTGCCAAATCATTTTGATGACGTCCTATTTATGAAGCTCATGCATTCCTGGGCACGTCGATTTCGCGACTGTACCATGTCCAAAGACACAGGTACATGTGAGCTCCTTTCATTCCATGACCGAAATCGTCACGGTACGTGATGATATCGTGTTATGTGACGAAACGGTAAAAGTAAGGCTTCCTCAGTTAATTCAAGCATGAAAATGAAAAATCGTATCGCTTGCCCATGCGTCCACATCGTGACCCTTGCATTTACTAGTCTCGGTAACACGCATCAGAAGCGGATGCAAGATATTGAAATCTTGTAGAAGAGACAAACTTATCATGCAGTGCTGGAGTGCGAACAAATCATAACTGCCACACTGCAGCATGTGGGGAGCTTGGAACCCTTGGCGGCCCGCGAGACTAGCCCATGTGTCTCTGACTTGCGAACCCTGCCGGCGCACCGTACCAACGTGTTTAGTAAGAAGCAGCCTGGCGGAAATCCCTCAACTCAACCTACAGGGGATCACTCGCCACTAACCATTCTGCCTGGCTACGCCCCTGTCACCGGCCTGACTACGCCCCTGTCACCGGCCTGACCACGCCCTTGTTACCGGCCTGACTATGCCCCTGTCACCGGCCTGACTACGCCCCCGCCACCGGCCTGACTACGCCCCTGTCACCTACCTGACCACGCCCTTGTTACCGGCCTGACTATGCCCCGGCCACCGGCCTGACTACGGCCATGTCACCGGCCTGACTACGCCCCTGTTACCGGCCATGGTCTTCGCCTTGCATCCGCCTCTGCAGTGTATGTGCTTTGACATACCATGCATGGCAAACAAAAACAAACAGCCGTCATATGAACTGAAACTAATGCTAGTTTTGAAACCGACGCTGACTCAACGAACACTGCCCTCCCCCCCCCCCCTTTGCATATTCCCTAGCTCCGCCCCTGGCCGGCCGTCGGTGGTGTCTCGCAGGCGATGTAAGAGGCCGGTGATTGAACGGTTGGAAAGTGCATCTCAGGCAAGTAACGGCTCGCAGATGAGGAAGCAATACGCCACTGCCATGACTACAAACACATATCAGGCAAGTAACGGCTCGCAAATGAGGAAGCAATACGCCACTGCCATGACTACGAACACACCTCAGGCAAGTAACGGCTCGCAAATGAGGAAGCAATACGACACTGCCATGACTACAAACACATATCAGGCAAGTAACGGCTCGCAAATGAGGAAGCAATACGCCACTGCCGTGACTACAAACACAAGCACATGCTGCAGCAAACGTGTGGTGATCAGATGAAGCGCACCATCCAATTGCACACATCTGGAGAAGCTAGTGAGCACCGACACCGGCTGGCAAATGTTAGGATATGTGCCAAACTTACAGCTGCAAAGTGAACAAGATTCAGCACTCAGGCTGGAACATTCTTCCGGTTGAAAACGAAGCTAACACATAATGCAACGTCTCCGTAGGCCGTGCTAAGGTATGCATGTTCCAAGCGGTTCAATCAGACCACCGAGTGTTTGAAACGACTTGTATGAGTAAAATAAACTTTTGCTGCCACTTGGAGGCTCCCAAGCATCCATATTTCAGTACACACCTTGTCAAAACGTGACGAGAGATATTGGCGATATCAGGCCGGAGGTCTGCTGGATAGGATAGGAGATATTGGACAAGAAGATTGTTGAATAAGATGGCAAATATTGGACCAGAAGGCTGTTGGATATTACATTTCTTAGGATGTAGATGCGTGACTGCAGCTCACGTCAAACACATTTGTTCCGCGAACTCGACTCCGCCACGCCATCGTGAAATTCCAAATTCCGATAAAAAACAGTAGATGGTGTGCCAAAGACAACCGTCCCAATGGCCAGCTTGGTTCACCACGCCCCTCCCGTCAACTGGCCTCTGATGCGGCCGCTGTCACCAGTCGCAGGGCAGCCCAGTCAACACGAGCGCCTAATTCACTCTGGAGGCAAAACAAAAACGAGCGTCTGAATCGACTTAAGCCCACCGCACCTCGAGTGACTGAAACCTTAAACAGGCTTGCGAAGAAAATAAGTTACTATTAATGATCGACGGCCTTCGCTAGTAATGCGTTCTCATTCGGCAGCACTTTTGTCTGCATACTTTTACTGCATAATGTTGTCGCTTCCTTTTCTCCAAATTGCACTCTGGTGTGCTCGCAAACAGAAGCGTTTTGCTGTTTGTTCCCACCGATACCCGCTCTTTTACCCGCGGGTAGCATTTATCACAAATGATTTTCAGCGATCACCGTCTCAAGCTGACCTGGGCATGATTCTTGTTTACAACGGACGCATTTCAGACAATCTTTAGACACGAGAATATCGACCCCACATGCACGTATGACTTTTGCCATGAGCTGTCAATGTAGGTCAATGGCCGAAATTAACCTTGAAGTGGAATTAGCTTGACCACTTGTTGACCTGGAACAGGCGTCAGCGGTATGTGAATGATGGCCGAACAGGGTACTGTGATTTACCGAAAGGTTCGGAAGCGAATTGTTGAACGTTTTTTGAAAGATAAAGGAAATATATGGGTTGATTAAAGGCAACTCAAATAAGGGGTGTTACATGACGTGTCTTGCAGGGCACGATTACGTCATGTCATGCTGACACTGAATCAACCTAGCATTGCGTCACTGAACTTTGTTATTGAACTGGATACACAAAAGCAGTGAATGGCGTGAGCTACGATGCCAAAAATCAATCGATCAAAATGCTCTACCTACACATTTTTACACCACTACATATAATCTACCTCAAATAATAACTGTGAAAATGGAAGGTGTGCAGTGTTTCATAACCTATATAATGATGTTTCATTCACTTCTTTTTTTACATTTTATCGCGGGATAACGGGAGAGCGAGCAGAAGCCGCTACCTCTGTAAGATGTGGGTGAGTATTGATCTTACTCGCTTTGAGGGCCAGATAACAGCTGCATTACAGAAATTATGTTCACTAACTATGATTTCAGTTCATAATCAAATCGAAGAGAGTGCATCTTGTGCAACGTTCACATTCCGCGTGTACGTACATGCACTGATGCTCCCTGCTCCTACCATGTCACTGATATCTCGCGAAGTAAACACGTTACATTAAGATTTGCGCACATCGAGAGAGCCGCCAGCCGCGCGTCCAAAACATTGCACAGATGAGGCTGGAACACCTACATACAGCCCAATGCCAAAGGGGGTCGGTACTCCTGCAACAGTTTTCAGAGGAGCCTACCAGCCTACACACATCACGCTACCACGCAACATGGCATTGTCAGCACAGCTATAGGCGGCCATAGCATAGCCATATGCGGCCATAGTATAGCCATGGGGCTATAGTACAGCCATAGAGGGGCCGAGAGTGTAGCCTTAGGTGGCTATACTCTAGCCCTAGGGGCGCCAGCCGAGGTCCGTCCAAGCGAAGTTCCCGCCACGCTCTTCCTGAAGCCTCGTTGCAGTTCACTTGATATCAGTCACGGCTTACGTGATGGGAACCCCCGCTGCACAACAAAGACACTCACGCCGACGCCGACATCAGCTGATGCTGCTCATCCAGGACGTCACGCGGCTCTGAGTCGCGTGAGGTCACGGATCGCTCCTCCTCAGAGTCTGAGTCGCGCAGCAGCAGCGATGAGTACGTGAGATGCCCTGCCCCTTCGGCCGGTGGCGATTGGTTGCCTTCGCACAACTTCGCCGGCGATTGGTGGCGGCTGGAGTCGTGTGGCGATGGTTGGTGGCAGTCGACGTGACGCAATGGTGATTTGTCAAGCGATTTTGCGTCCGTTGATGATTGGCTACTGGGTGGCAGGTAGACGGCATCTAGAAGGTGCAGGTTTCCGTACTCGATCGGTCCATCCAGATCTCGGTCGTCTGAAGACAGCCGTTAATTGGATCTCGAGGAAGCATAACCCGACGCGGCATGAAGGCGTGACCAGTCACAATCACGCATCAATTTCGTGCTAAATGAAGTACAGCTTCTGGCATTGCACTCCATACCGCTGCTCCGATGATAGCCTTCAGCCGCGATAGGTAACCGGCCGCGAGCCTGCAGACTGCAACATCAGTAACCTGCTCCTCAAACACATAGACCGTTTAGGCTCTGTTATGCAGTGTAACAGGGCAGGTAAATATCTCTGAAGAAGTCTATGCAACGGAAAAAACGATTTTTTTTCTTCTCAAAGGCAACGGCGTCTTTACAGATTCACATGATGAAATCAAAATTAAATCATTCCATTCGGACGTCGACCGCAAGCAAAAAAGCATTTGAAGTTTATCGCATTATAGTGATGACGCAACATCTAAAGTCCAACAGTTTTTTCACCTTAGTTTAGAACGAGTCTTACAGGTCAGCACAATTTGCAAGAAGTAATAGGCACACTAGCATATTCGACCATGACATTTCTATCATCGCCATTAAAAAAGCAGCACGTTTTTGCCTGCAGTCCATTGACCGTCGCTATATTTGTGCCCGTTTTGGCGGCTCTCCCACCGACACGTGGCCAGCTACTGGACTTACCGCCCTCGCCGAGCAGGTCGAAGTACTCTCTGTTGAGCACCAGCGGCGTGCTGAGGTCCAGGTACTCGGAGCCCGACTGCAGCATCTTGTCAAACCACATGGTCAGCTCGGCGAACGTGGGTCGGGATGAGGGCTGCTCCTGCCAGCACTGGCGCATGATGCTGTACCTGAGGAGGGCGGAGGGGCAGGTGGTAAACACTTGCCACCAGCGCAACCAACCAGCCGGTGACGACATGTGGACTGGAGACACACTGGAGGTCCACTGAAGGCCCACTGGAGACCCGTTTGTTTACCAACAATTGCATCCAATATTTCGAGGACCCCTGACCTGTATATAAACACGAGCATGCACGCACGCGCGCACATATGAGAGAAGGCTGATCGAGGCCAGTCATGCCTTCATATATAACTAGCCGTGTCTGAAAGATAATATCCTAAGCACACCGATGCATATAAATATATATGTATATATATATATATATATATATATATATATATATATATATATATATATATATATATATATCTCTCTCTCTCTCTCTCTCTCTCTCTCTCTCTCTCTCTCTCTCTCTCTCTCTCTCTCTCTCTCTCTCTCTCTCTCTCTCTCTCTCTCTCTCTCTCTCTCTCTCTCTCTCTCTCTCTCTCTCTCTCTCTCTCTCTTTCTCCGTGCGTATGCGTATGCGTGCGCGTCTATATGTCCTATCTCCTGTCTTTCTTCCTTTTGTTTTCACTCATGTATCTTCTGTTCACTACCCTCGCCAATCTTTTCTTCAACTGTACCTAGGTTGAAGGCCTTACAAGCCTTCATATCACTAACGCTCCATAATGATCCGCCTAACGATATAGAACAGGCAAACCCCGGCGGCTTCCAGCAGACATGTTTAAGTCTTCCCAGCTCGGCAAGCTTTCACCTCGAAAGCGGTGAGTGAGAATGGTATATGAATTACATCAACTGTCAACAAAGTCACTGAAGTCCGCCCATTATCTGCTTGTGGTGGCCTTTTATCCCCCCGGGGAATGCATTTATACGTGTGGTGGGCACGTAATGCGCTTGCAAAGCTCAGAACAAAAAAATCACAGCCTCGTTGTTCGATTATTTCTGTGGGTAAGTTAGTTTCGTAGTTGATCGTCCTTTGCATCTTGTTGATATTTGTTAGGTTGCGGAGTCCGTTAGTTTTGTAGTAAGCAAGCTAACATGGGCGGCGCTTGGTCGCGGCGCGATGAGAAGTGCGCACATTAGCTTCGCGGCAGGCACGATCTGAGGGTCTTAAATCACCAAGTGTATCAGCTTCGAGACAGCCAAGGTCTGAGAGCCCTACGACACGAAAAGCGTCAGCTTGTGGCCCCCTGATGTAGCACGCGCATGAGGACGTGGACCTCGAAACGCTCTCAACCATTAGGACATTTGACCTATGACCTACCATAACGTTCGGCCTATGTCCTTCTATCACATACGACCTACGGCCTACTATGGCATTTTAGCTCATATATTTGGCCTACTTACATGTCCTGCGTGCAGCCGACCGGACGGTCCATCCTGTAGCCGGACTTGAGCAGGTGGCAGAGCCGCTCAGGGGTCACCCCTGGGTAGGGCGTGGCACCTGTAACATGGGCGTGTGCTCAAATGGCGGGGCGGATCTCCTTTTGCATCACGGCTTCACTGACGGCGAAGCCAGGGCCTTGTGACGTCATGGTATGACAGGGCATGGCGCGTCACTGACGGCAGGGCCATTGTGACGCCGTAGTATGACGGGGCATGGCGGAGATGTGTATACAATACTTGGGGTATGGCGGGGATGTGTGCACAAAACCTGAGGTATGGCGGGGTATGGCGGGGATGTATGTACAATGCTTAGGGTATGACGGTGTATGGTGGAGTGCATGTACAAGGCTTGGCATGTAACAGGGCATGGCGGGATGTGTGTAAAAGACTTGGG